TAAATCGACTCAGGGGGTGATTCTGAGTCGATCTGTACCTATAAATTTCGACCTTTTTTTTTCACCCTCACTAACCCTCCCTCAAAATGACCGATGGGATAAAATAAAATGTCTCCACAGGGGTGGGTAAATCGACTCAGGGGATGATTCTGAGTCGATCTGTACCGACGCGGGACAATTCGAGATACGACGCCATGTTACATGAAAACTCGAAAGTTTTCATCTTCGATTCGAGATATTGCCCATGCTTTATTTTTTTTAGTAAGGAATAAGGATAGGAGGTGAGCAAAAGACCGTAAACATAACCTTAGACGTGTCAATCGTGATAAAAATCGGCGAGTCTGATTCGATTGGGAGAATTTTCACCGATGTGATAATAAATGACAAATATTTTCATTTATTATTACTAAGAAAAGTTCATCATAACAATAAAATGAGTTCGTCTCTGGTGGCAAAAGTTCTCCGTACGACAGGTGAGCCCTAACCCCTCAAAATTTGCTTAAAAAATCCACAAAGCCACAAAATGATCCATTATTTCTAGGTAAAATTGAAGCAGCAGATTTGAAAAACAAAATTAGTGAAATTCAAAAAGAAATTATTGCTCTGAAAACCGATGTCAATCAATTTATTGAGGATAATTATGTGGATTTTCTTGCTAAAGTGGAGAAAGACACAATTTTGATTGAAAGATCTGAAAAATTGGTGGATAGCATGAAAGGATTGAAGAACAGAATAGAAGATCAGGTAAAACATTTGTCATTCTTACCTATTTTGAAACTTGTACCAAATAACTCTAAATAAATACAATCGATCGGATCGATTGTTTAATCAGGAAGAGAATAAGAGAAATACTCGATTTTCGACTGAATTTTTAATTCGTATATTTACGATTGAATGAAAAACAGGCATGTTTGAGGAAATTTTCAAAGAAATTCTCTCAATTTGTTCTGCATAAAAAATCGTTATTTTTTTATTGAAGATGTTGTTTTTTCAAGAAGAAAAGTCAAGTCATTAAACTTTACTTTCAAATTTACTGACGTCGCCGCGGCCTCGACATTGATATCTTTTTACGATATGCTTTCTCATGTCTTTCAAAAATTAAAAAAAAAATGTTAAAAAATGAATGATTCATCGTTTTATTCTATCGATAAAAATAGAATGTAATAATGTATAATAATAGTATATTATGCACCCCCCGGGAGAAACTGCTTTTCAACCGTGGTGCATATGCTACTTTATGTTCCAAGGGATAAAAAGCGCGATCGAGCAGAGGTTAGGATTGCGCTTTTTTACTTCCGCCAATCTCCAATTAAAAGGCCGAACCTCTCCTACTCGAGAAATCGTCCTTTCTCTACATAGCTAGTGGGAAGAAGGAAAAACAAAAAATTGTCGAAAATTTGGAGATCAGATTTTCGCTGATATTTGGTGGAATGACCCATTTATAGTCTGGTTAAAAACCAATCGCTTTATCTTTTTCGTGAATCTGAAATTGACGTTAATCATTTAAAAGATATAATAACAAAAAAGGCAGCGTTTTTAATTTATGGTATATGCCGAAGTAGTGGTGAGACATACAGCTCCTCATGCATAATCAAATTTAGGAATTTTGCTCATAATAAAATATTTTTTGAAAATGTATATTTAGCATTTAGCATTAGCATCTTCACCACTTGGAATTTTGGTTTTCTGCATACTTAGAAATATCCAAGTATTCTAATAGGAGCCTCCATTCACAGATAAAAGTAGAGCTCTCAGGCTCGACAAAGGAATTGAAGAGTTTATCGCAAACACTAGAGGCCTCAAACATCAGTCTGGAACTTTCCTCCCAACTCTTGGATTTACACACTTCCTTAAAAACAATGGAGAAACTCCAGCAGGAGAACCGATACGTAGAAGCAGCGAAAGTATTCAAAAGAATGCATAAAATCTTGAACAGGAGAGAAAAGAACGATTTGAAATTACTGAATATATATCCTCCTATAAGGGACTTTTACTTCACTACGTACAGTACATTTTTGTCGACAATTACGGAAATATGGGAGCAGAATGTATGTTGGACTGACGCTCAAGGTACCGAATCTACGAAAAACAGTGCACATAGTTCGACCAGTTTGAAACTCGATTGTCAGCCGAAAGACATACAGGATCTTGTGGAAGCTCTCCACTATGTCGAGGAGCTCACTCCCACTCTTCAATTCTTTTGTACGAAAATCCTTAAACGGTTCATCATTCCGATCATTCATCATGACTGCTCAGTTTACGTTGTGGAGAAAACGGTTTTCAATGTCACTGTTTTGAATGAAAGTCAATCACCCACGTACAAAAGCACTCTCCATAATTTGAAGTTATTGTTCCAATTCTTGAATCAGCACTTTCAATGTAAAATTGAGCAAAAAACCTTTATTGGACTGATCTCTGAACAATTGTCGGAAAGGATCGAGGAAGAATTGATAAAAAATTGTATCTCTAAGACTATACCGGATTCGAGTGCTGGGCTGCAGAATTTTAAGGAAGTGGAGGAGACTGTACAGGTGTTTGAAGATTATTTAGTTGAAATTGGTGAGTGAAATAATGTGTCTCTTTGAAATTAATAATTTATTGTTTCATTGTGAAAAGATTCAATATTTTGGGAAGCATTTTGACAAGTGAAAATGTTCGAAACATTACTAAAAAATTATTGTTTAGATTCTTTTGATTATAGTAAAGTTGGTCGTTTATAAGAAGGAATGATTGAGGAGGAATATAAATATAAATGTACTAAGCTGATGAAACTTTCCTAAAATTTTCACCGAGCAAGAAAATACATTTCATGTCAGATAGTCATATTGTAGTTTCAAATATTATAATTATGTTCAGTGAATTGATTATTATGTTACATATGACCTTGGTAAAACGCCCATCATTATGTACCTTATTTTTTAAATTTGAGAGTTTCTTAGAGAAAGCAATTTTGAATTACCAAATACTATAATAAAATAGAACGTTGATAATCACTATTCGAGTTCATTAGAGATTATCTTTGTATATAAAAGATGTAAAAGGATGTGAACCCTTTTTACAAATTCTTGTTTGTGATTCCGTAGGATTCCTCTTACCAGAAGATTTTTTTCTTTCTCAATACATCAGCAATGTGGATCGCCTGTACATTGATAAAAAATGCCAGGGACTGCTGAATACTGCAAGAGAAATAATGAGGAAAGATCTGCACGACTCCTTCAAATATGAGCCCGAAGTTTCTGAATTACCGAAATCACTGAAAAATTGTAGTAACATCATCATGGAGAGAAAGTTAAGTGAAAAGACCTTCCAACTGCCTGCCTGTCAGGTCAGCAAAAGTGCCCGACAAATTTTACAGCTAGTAAGAAGCATTTTGGACGAGTTGACCCGTAGCCCTGAGGCCTGTTCAGTAAGACTGTACTACATGAGTAGAAACATCTTTGAGATGTACGCTGGAGCGGTTCCTGAGTACCACAAAAAGTTTCTAGAAACGGTTCCTCAACAGGTCGCCTTATTCCACAACAATTGCATGTATTTTGCTCATCACTTGATGACACTAGGATACGAGTATCAGCAAAAGATTCCGACGCACTTGGAAAAGCATAATGTAACTTATGTAGATTTGACATTGAAATTACGAGTAGTTGGAGCGGAATACTTCATGAATCATATGAAGTATCAGAGGAATATCATCACGGAAATTATCAACGACTCTGGTAAGTCTCTTCAATTATCTCAAAGGAGGAAAATTCAATATTGTCTCAGTAGCCAAGCAGTAAAACGGTTTAAGTCAATTTTTATCGAAAATTAGTTTATTACTGAAATCGATCCTTGAGGGTATAACGCACCTCTCACACAAACGTTTCAAGCCTCAAAACATATCTAATGGCTCTTTTGTAATTGAATAGAATGAATTTAGTTACAACTCTAATACCAAACGAACTATGTCAACATATATGAAAAAAATTGTAATTTGAAAAAGGGCCTAATTCACGGCGATGGATCTCCCAATTAAAAACGACAATTGAAGATGTTCGCCACAGTATTAGCCATGAATTGACGTTTTTTTTAATTTTTCTGGCAAATTATCGATGGATTTGAATAAAATGGAATAATGAGAAAGCGGAAAAAGATTATATTTTTACGTCAATTCCGTTATAAGTTTGCCAGAGAAAGGTAAAAAAGGTGAATTTTGATGGAAACGATGTAGAACATTCTTAACTCTCAGGCGCGAAACACAATTTGAACGAAGCCGCCGAATTAAAAAAAATAAATGGCTGCAGAAGGTGAAACTATGAATATCAGCAACTGACCCAAAGCACGTGACATTTATTAATTAATGTGCCCAAATTGATAACAGAGGAACGACTAGCAGTTTTTGGCACTGCTGTATAATTTATTTCTTTTGACTTAGACCATTATTACGCTTCCATTGACATCGAAGAACTTTTTTTGCACAATGTGAAGCTCGAAATTACTTAGCCTGTGATTTAGTTATCTGGTGGTATCAGGATTAGCGGCTTAATAAATTGAAAATTTACTATTACTAGGTAGACGTGCCCTCGGGAGACTCGCGCTAGCTGGGTCGCATGGTTCTACTTTCAATCTCAATTTTTCTTCCTTTATTCTCGTAGTTAATCAATATTTTTATTTCTTCGAATATTTTATGCACTTGATCCAATTATCTGGGCGCCAGTTCATTAATGGATAACTAGCATTAATTTTTCGGCTTGTCTTAGGGAGGGAAAGAAGAATGGAACCAAGAATTTCCTCTGTATTAAACTGAAAATTACTTTTGGCCTTTTGAGAGTTTCATTTCACCAAAGCTATTATAAGTTAATAAGGCAAAGAAAACAAAATACATATCAGGTATTTAGGTACAATAACCCCTCCAAAAAATTTTCTTCGAAAATTGTGGCAAGTGTTAAATATTTTTTACTCCGTTTTTCCCCTCACCTGTAGGAATTGTTTCGGATCCGGTCAGAAACTGGATACATTAAATGAATTGGATAGATTTAGGGAACCTTGCCCTACCCTTCACTTCTGAAGCTACATAATTTTTAATAATTCATATAAATTAGGTTAAATTCAATTCAACGTATGGTAAGGTACTACAAAAAAATCAAAAAATTTTCTTAATAACACTTTCCCTTTGTCTAAAAGCTTGTAATGCTCGGTAGACAATCAAGTGATGTTAAGAAATTTCTGTCAGGGTTAAATCGATGTGAAATACCAAGAAGAACAGGTCCCTAGCTAATAGTCTATCTTTATCTCTGGGAGGGTCTAGCGATTCCATGATGCCCTCTTGTCATATTTAAGTTCCCAATTTTTAGTGTTAGTCTAAAAAGTCCAAATATGCACTTTTCAGATGGTGTCTGTTTGTAGGTGTGTGTGCTTTTTTTGCTCTCTTTTTCTTCACCAGGGACTGATGAAATACCATGAGTTTTTGAAATAAATATGAACTTTTAAAAGCTCTATCTATTAACACTGTTTAGTTTTTGAATTTCCATGATGATTCAGAAGAATCCGTAATTTTTTACTGAAATTTTTCTTTTTCGTTTTTTTGTAATTTCTTCACGAAGGATCAATACAATCTCATCAATTTCCTTGTGAATATAGTGTTCCATGCGCTTCATCCACCGACACAATTGGAATTGACTTCGGCAGAAAGATTCGGAAATATTCGGATTTTTTGGAAAATGGTTTTTCAGAAGAAAATTAATGGTCGCTTAAAAAATTAATAGCAATAGGCCCTTGATTGTATCAGAATATGGAGAGAATCGCATCATTTGTTGTTAACTTATAGCATATTGTATATGAGAGTTTTTTCTTCATCTTCTTTGTGATCAATTGACAATATTATGAGCAATATCAATGCAATGACTGCTCTATTTTTTCTTCTCATGGCATTATTGTTCAAGTCAAAAGATGACGCAACTTTTCCATTTTCCGGTGATGAAAATTCAATTGAATATAAAGACAATTTAGATACATTACCATGTATTCAAATAAATATCGTAATGGGGAAAAAGGTGGAAACAATATAATCTGAGAAACAAAAATCCATTCTAAAGCTTGTTGCTAATTTCTTAGCAGTAACAGCTATACGCAGTTCCTTATAATGGTAATCCCTATTTGTTTACTGAGAAATGAGTAGAACCTTTTCTATCCATAAATTCTTCCATAAAAATTCAAACTACCCAAAGTTCGAACATCACGCTTTTAGTTTATTTTTATCATTTTCGAGGTTTATTCCGGTTTGAAAAAATTAAGAATTTTTTTTTTTTAACCGAAGTCGAAGCATAATTCTTGTGTATTCTAAAATTATTGATCCCATAGAAATTATTTTTATGATTGAATAAAATTAAAAAAACGGCCTTTCGTGTTGTAGACAATGCTTAATCTTAGAAATCCCTAAAAGAATGTAGACATCAAAAAATAACCATGACAAATGTATTTGCGGATATGAAGAAAATAGATGTCCCACTTAACGAAGAATGTTTCTTATATGATCTATTCTCCATATTCAATTTATTTTTGCGCTTAATTAAGTTTTACTCAGATTTTTTCTTGATTTCGTTTTTAACCTTTTAATTGCCATATATCAAATAGATATTACAAATTCGTCTTATAAATTATCATTTGCAGGATTATCACAGTTGGGACAAAGTTCTAAACTACCTCCAAGTACAGAGAAAGCTCTTCGGCAATGCGTACGTCAATTAGAATTATTGAAAACAGTATGGTCAGAGGTACTTCCAGTGAATACTTACTGCAAAGCACTAGGTATTTTCCATTCTCATTTCTTGCCGCCAGATGAAAATATTTGAAAAAATAATTATCACCAATTTTCAATGTAGGGTGCATCACGAATTCATTGATAGATGATTTAGTCCTGAAAGTGGTAAAAGTTGAAGACATTCCAGCTGCAATGGCAACGGAGCTCGGAGAATTATTTAATATCATAGTAAAACGAGTGCCAGCAATATTTCCGGTGAGTAAAAAAACAGAAAAATTAAATAGAATTTGTTAATGCCACCAACATTTCTTATGTTGAGGCCCTGGTGGACTATCTATCGAATGTCATCTTTCGTTTAAATTCTATCTTTTTACCTTAAAATACATTGAAATTCGGGATCAAATTTGTGCTGCACTTGAAACACTTGAACGGACATTAAAAAATAATGAAAATGAAAGAGGAAAAATTATTGAAGGGCGCTAAAGAGCGATATTGTTTAAAAGGAATCTACCAAGTTTTACTAAAAAAGCATAAAAAACCCGTAGCCTACCCTAACGTGACACATTGCATTTGTGGCCGTAATTATATATCAAATATATATATATGTGTAACCTATATGTTAAGCTATGTATTTTTTATTATTTTTTAATAAATTTGGTAGATCCCTTTTATACAATATGGCTTTCTAGCGCCCTTCAATAATTTTTCCTTCTTTTTTCATTATTTTTTTATGCCCATTCAAATGCTTCCCGCAACACCAATTTGATCTCAAATCTTAATGTATTTTAGACTACAAAGTTAAAATTTAACCAAAGGTGACGTTCGATAAATGGCCCACCGAGACCTTAATTATAAATTCGTAATGAAAATTTCTCCAATCCGTGTCCTGAATGATTAATCTGAAATTTAAAAACAGTTGATATTAGATTGTTATTACTAATTTCAGATTTGAGGAACTTTAATGGAGAAAAACCAAAATTTTGTTTACGATGAACCCCTTGAATCACAAAACAAGTGCCTTTCAGTAAATTTTTTTCAACATTTTTCCAAAAGAATTTAAAAAATTTTAAAATATTGAAAATTTGGAAATTTTTGTAAATTTGGGAAATTTTACGGAAGCTTTGGCATATAACTAATTATTTCTCTCAGAATTTGCCATCTTTGATTTCTTTCATCTTTCAGTTATTTTTTCCAAATTGGAAAATTTTTTTTTAATTCAATTTTTAAAAATGTTGAAAAAAGTCAGGGAAAGTCGTGTTCAGATGACCTAAAAATATCTCCAAACACGAAAATTCGATGTTGCCAAAAAAAAAAGTTTTTCTTACATTTGTCCTTGAATTTACGATCTCAATTACAGATTTAATGCGATTGAGATGTCATTGACGAGAACGGGAGCGGAATTTACGAGTTCGGAATCGTTATTTACGGAATTGACCCCGTAATTTACGTGTCCAAACCCGTAATATACGAAATCAGAAATCCCGTAAATTATGTTCTAAATCGCGTATTTTAAGTATAGTTTTTTTCTGTGTGTGATGCATCTTGCTTCTTTTCAATTCGAATTGTTTCGATGAAAAGGTGTTGATAATAGCTAATTGTTTAAATATTTGAAATTCTTAAATATTGAATCAGTCTTATTGACGTTTCCGTATTTCTCATTCATCTATTTATCGTAAATGATGAATAGATGGTCAATTGCACTTCAAATACAACTCCCTTCACATTTCTAAAACTAAATCCTTAAGAATATATTATTGCTGGGCTAGATTCAAAGATTTCCATGAATTTTTGGAATTGACATATATTTCAAACGATTATCATAAATATTTGCAGTTGTGAAAATATTGAGGGATTCAAATTGAATGAACACTCTTTACTTATGAAGAAATGATTTTTATTATTAAAAAAAGGATACAAAAAACGGCTAGCTTGAAAAAGTTGTACCTTTTTTATTTTGTAGGATCCACATGCAATACATCGTAATGTGAGCAAGTGGCAGAAACTGTTGGAACTCATTAAGATACTGGAGGCATCACTGAGAGACATTCAGGATCGTTGGGCAGATGGTAAAGGACCTCTGGCTCATGAATTTACATCGGCCCAGGTGAAGCAGTTGATAAGGGCCCTCTTCCAGAATACCGAGAGAAGAGCAGCACTCCTAGCTACCATTAAATAACATTCTCATGTTTTTTTACTTGTCAATATATTCATCCTGTGATCTCTTCGGAAAATGAAAATTTTATTGGAAAAGTTCTGTGGTTCAACTCAATTCAATCCCTCTACTTGATTTCTCCCTTTGATTCATTGAATTTTTAATGGTTTCGAATGGCCTTTCGTTGGATATGGCTGCTGTCAAGGGGGGACTCAAGTGATTTAGGTAGAGGCAGAGTGGCGTACGGTAATAATGAGCGTAAATTATTTAATCATATTCCAGATACCAAGTTATCATTTTACATTGAATGTTTAAACATTGCTGATTGTTTACAGCCAAGAAATATTTTATATCCACAATTCATTTTTTGTCCAGAACTCATTTTCATTTTGCTTCGAAGTGAAAGCCATATTTTCTGTTGCATAACAATCATTTTTAGGTATGTTTTCTACTTTAGCGTACTGTATCCTTATATTTCATTGTAATTCCTTGAATTTCAAAGCTCTGTTTTGCCTTCCTATCTGAGTAAAACAAGAAGACTAAAAGATTTTTTGTATTTGTCATATAAAATGTAAAATAAAATTGGTTATTATCGATAGGAAGATGATTTATTTTAGCAGTGGAGGGCTATTCATAACAGATCAAGTCAATTTTTATATTTTCTTTCTCGCTTTCGGTTATTATCGGAATCTTACTGAATGAGTGTATCCTACGGAGGTAAATATGTAATATAAGTATGTAGTGATGATTAATTTGAAGATGACAGGACATAATTCATCGGAAATGACAGGTTTCTCAGAGAATGGTCGAATTTACGTGGCTCAAATGGAGCGCTGTATGTTGATAAAAATGTAAATTTTTAAAAATATCCCCATTTTATGAATGAGTTAGAAAATATGCTCCTTAACTCGAAATGTAGGCCTACCTTGATCTATCAGGCTGCGGCTGAAATATTCAAGTTATCGCATTGGATGAAATACACAAATATCTCTGAAGGTGGTAGACTAATGAAAAGATATTTCCAATTATAGTTGTAGAGTTTTGACAAGTAGGATATTCGACACATTGTTCTCAATCCCATTCATCTCAGCTGAACTCATCCACCTTGATAAGTTCTTTCCAGATACTTGATCTGTTGACCTGTTTATCAAGCAGAATTATCAAAAGTAAAAACTAATCAAAATATTTTGCTTGAGGATTTTTTTATTTCCTGACAGCAGTCTATCGACAATTTGTCGATGCCGGGGTCACATTAAAAATCCGATGGTACTGACGAAAATTGTTGTCTTGCTTCTCGTCTCTTGGTGCTAATTCAATTAGAATGGTGTTGGTATTCTTCCATTAAACCCTCCAAGATGGATTGAGCCAGTGAAATAGTCGATATTTTATTGGTCTGGGATTGGAGAGATGTTTATTTTATTCATTTCAACCACAGTTAGATAATCTAAAGGTATATTTCTAGCTAAGAATCATATTTTTGATCGAAAAATAGAAATTTAAGGATTGACTAAAAATGCCTGTTAATTATGTAACTATTTTGCAAATTGATAATTTCAGGAAGATATATCGAAGGAGGAAAAACATTTCCTAATAATAAAGAACTTGTTTCTTCATTTGTTCTTAAAATTGTTCATCATCGAGTAGTTTTATATTTAATCAACTATAGAAATTGACTTGTTCTGTTAATTTGTATTATGATCACATTATTTTTGATATTATGTGCAAACATAATGAATCGCGACCGCCTTGCTCGTCATCAGTCTTAGCTCCGCGATAGATCAAACACAATACTCAACTTATTCCTGATAGTTGTTGAAAGAGATTCAACTAAATTCATCCGGAAAAAATAATCTAAAATCTCATAATTGATGAAAAATTTGAGCCAATGAATTTGAGAAACGTTTTTAAAATAAAAAAAAATTGTAATCGAAGTATAAATTCAGAGCACAATTGTTGTTTCGATAGTGATTAGTTATTTTTTTCAATTATTGTTTTCTTGTTTTACAGCAAAATTTCTTGTTATGTACACGTCGATGAGTAGATTGGACAGAGTACGCAGTTCGATGAGGCGGAAATAGCTGAATTGTCCCGCAGTTCTGATTGGCAACGTAGCGAAGTTTCTTTATGTGCATTCACGAAGATGACGATGACTGTGAACATTGAAGTGCAAAATTGTTTGACACACATTACATGTTTTCACTTAATCGTTTTTTATAGATTGTTCTTTCTCTTTGAATGTCTTTAGTTAACAATTAACAGTCTTTTTGGTTTTCATTATCACAGAATTGCTGCGCATGCAGTTTTATTTGTTGGCATTTGTTTACTCATGATTCATCTAAAATCCACTTTCTCGGACACGAATATCGTAGAGATTGTGACAAACAGAGACGTAGATTCAGCGTTATTAAAATTGAACGAACCGTTTGTTAATAGTAGATTTATCTCATAAACGGAGATATTTCTCTAGGAGAAATTATGAAGGAACGTTTGATGCTTGTCAGCTTTCCTTTAAAATCGTAACTATCGAGATAATTTTGCGTTTAACAATGTGGAAAAAACTTTCATTTCACGAGGCTTGAAGGATCTGAAACGACCTCAGCCTTCGTAATAGTCATGACAACGGGCTGATCGAAGATTATCAGTGCACATTATTTTCTCGAAATCAAACATTATCGAAAGCAATTGGTAGATAAAATAATATATTTATCTTATTGTTTTCTCTTTGTTTTTTTTTTGGTTTTTTTGGTGTTTTTTTTTTTTTTTGGTCAATTATTGTACCTGCCACGTCCGGCCGGTGAACGACTTCGGTATCTCGATGTCCCCGAATCCTTTCCAGAGTAGTAGTTAGATCCAGAATTACCAGATGATGCCCCATAACCATCCTGTCCATACGAATCACGCGATACGTAACCACTTGAGCTTCGCCCCGATGAATAGCTATCACCGTAGCGTCCTCTCCCTCTACCACCTCGTCCACCACTTTGATAACCGCCCCCTTGATCACCATATCCACCGCTACCACGATAACCACCACCTCCACGTCCAAAACCCCGGCTACCACCCCTACTACCACCCCTAAAACCACCTCCACCACTTCTGCTACCACCTCTGCCACGTCCCCTCGATATCTCCACCCTCAATTTGGCACCCATTATCTCTGTACCATTCATATTGTTGCAGGCTAATTCAGCCTCATCAAGGGATAAAAATTCGATGAACGCAAACCCAGGAGGATTGAATGCCACCCAGACTTTGTTGAGCTTTCCAAATTTTTCAAATTCCATTTGTAGATCCTCCTTCTTTATTGTCTCGTTGAGACCACCTACATACACTCTTGTGTATCCCTCGGGAGTCATCCTCAATCCTCTATTTTTTCTTCTGAAAAATCTGTAAGTCAGGGGGAAAGAGACAAACTGTTTGAGACATTTCTATTAGGTTATTGTTATTTGGAGGGAAACTGAGGATCCTGGAGAGGTGAGGAAACACACCATTATTTCAACAATAAATTATTCATATTCTAGGTTTATGGCGAAGATGAGGTGTACTTTTTGTGTGGTAAAGCTCTCATCTCTCTACTAATTAGATGGCTGGTCATCTAATGCACTCCTGAATCGGCCGAAAAATATGCAACGATTTCAGTGGGATTAAATATTTACCTGCTAAAATAAAGTATCTGCCATTTTAATCTGCTAGTTTGACAGAGTAATAGATAGTAAAGATGTGTGATCATATCCCATCAACTTCTAATCCGTACGACTCCGAATTTTTTAGTACTTCCCATGTGATTTATATTTTAAGAACATCTAAGGGTTTAATGAGCAGTAATTCAAGGGATAGTGTAGAAATAGTATTTTTCACGCCTAAGTCGGAAAAAGTAAATCACCTTTTTTTACCGTGGCTATGATTCTATTTTATGTCATTGTGACCGAAAATGGGTTTTATCCGAGAGAAGCGACATAAATTTATTTTTAAACCAAGATAAGTTAATTTTTTTCGAGGCCAGTTTTTAGTCAATATCTTGAAATTAAAGGAAGATAATGATTTTTCCATGAATGTCTTGTTGAAAATTAAGAGAGTTTCATTAGATTCCATATAGATAGTCAATTGACAGAGTTCGGATTTGGGGACGCTGGACCGAGAAAATCCCCGATAGAATTAGAGTTACGATCGAGATCTCAACAAGTAAACACGTGTTTTTCATTGTGTTCAGATAAACGCTCAACGGTCTTTTCCGAGTACATCAGTTATTTAGCAAATCAGAGTTATTTAGCAATTATTCTTGAAATTAGATATTCAACAAATAATAGACAATTGACCAAGGTAAACCCAGACTTATAACCCAGGAAAAGTGCACGCGGTTTTAGCCCAATAAAATACATCAAAGAAGATTTAATTAAATTACGTGTTACTTTTTTTCAACTTCATCTTTGCATTCTTTCCCTCAGCCCGGTATTATCTGAGTTGCTCACCAAACATATTTTTCCTGTAGATCTCATCCTTTTCTATAAAAAGCCGTGAATCAAAAATTATATGCTTCACTACACTCCTTCAATCCCAAGATATTGACTGGTATAAATGGTCTTGAAAAAAATGCATTTGTTGGAGACGGTGTTGAAAAAAAGATAAATAAAGATGTTCAGGAAAAAATGAGGTTTTTATAATGGATTAGTGAAAGTAGATAACTCGACATGAGTAGTTTCCTTCATTAGTTGTGCTGATTAGAGGAAATTGACAAAAAAAAAACAATTTATAGCGATATTGAGTGCACACATAAAACTAGATCAACAGAACGGGAGGAGGGCCAGGTGCAATAACTACTGGCCTGTACTGTTCATGTGACGTGGAGAGAGGGCCCTATAAATTGACCCAACACATGGACGGCACCCATTGAAATATTACACGGACAAAATAAACTTGAATCAAGTGTACCGGTAAAACAATTTGTTCAGTGCCATCAAACATTTCACAGTACAGGGACAATTCGTCAACAAATTTTCGACATATTGCTGTGGGGAGTAATATAGGGGATGCTGAGATAATATGGACACCAGGGTTAAAACAAACAATTTAACAAAACAAACCCATTAGAAATTTTTCCATGTCTTGATAAACATAAAATTCGTCATTTATGTCATAAATAGATCAATGAAGTATTTAGTAAGCAAAGGATCGATAGACTGGCGATGGGGAATGGGATTCTCCAAAAATTAAAAAAACGTGAATAATGAAAAAAAGTGGCTAATAATGCACATCATGGGGAATGGGCTTAAAATTCTAATTAGCTGTGTTTCAACCATGTTTTTTATATTAGATTTATTATGTCGTAGAATAATAAAAAAAATTATGATAATAATTAAATGAGTTTCAAGAGGGCACTTATCATTTTAGAACCTAAGGTATTCTTTTTGTATGGATTAACTATTGTATGTATATCCTCAATTAACTTTCGGTCCAGTCGGTTGAATTAATAGTTTCCCCTATGCTGATTGTAGAATTGTTCTTGTAGGTTTTTCCGAGCCAAAAAAGAAAAATAAAATGAGCGTGGAAAAATTTAATTATTTAAAATTCATATCGAGAATTATTTATTAAAATTCATTTCAATATGCCAACGATTACGTTCGCTCGATTTTGGGAAGGGTTGTAGAATAGTATTTTATCCGAGCGAAGCGAGGTTAGAAACGCGTTTTACCGGCCGCAATGGAATCCCGGAAAAAATATCCCACACATTCAAAACGTGTTAAAACTCGCTCAATTTAATTATTTTTTAATTTAATTATTTTTTTCGTTGTCTATTTTTTCAGGGGCTCTAATTTTCCTATGGTCTATCAAATTGGGTGGGTTTTAACACGTTTTGGGTGTGTGGGCTATTTTTTCCGGGGATATTTTTTCCGCCTACCGCCGCAATGACATAAAAAATTTTAAAATGTCATAAACTTGACACATATTAGTTGAATAGAAACAGTGATTTCATTTTTCGACCAATGATTAAGTCCTAACAACTTTAATAAATAATGTTCACATGACTACAAAAAGAGTAAAGAAAAAAATATTGACACCTGTTTGAACACTATATACCCGTTTGGCTTTTATTATTATTAATAAATTTCGTCCAGAATGTGTGAACACTGGGGACCGGAATAGATGTGGCAATAACGACGCAATCAGCTGTCACTTGGCGGGAGGATATAGAGAGCTTTAAAATTTGGAGTGTTTGACGCGATAGGAAAAAATTGTATGGCGAGGTTATGGCACTCGATCTCTTTTTCTCTTTCACCTTTCACACGAGTATAGGGGGTTACCACGATTTTTTTCACGCTAGTCAATTGAAAAACTCTTCATTTATATTTTTATTGAAAAATAGAGAGAATCAGATGATTTTCATGCTCGAGACGACAAAATAATAGTTCTTAAAATTTTTTTTTTGCAAATTCAGTATGGGAAAAGCCATAATTTATATTAAATTAAATTGAATTATATAGATCAAAATGCCTGCTCTGGTAATATAGGCCAAAACTACTATTTGTAAAATGGAAAATTTATTTGAAAGTTGATATTTGCTTATCACTCTTCTAATAGGTGATTCACAGAAAATTTGTTGACAGTTGCTTGGAAAATTTATAGTAACTGTTTCATGTGCATCTGCAGGTAAATCTTTTATTATCTTCATATTGAGCTTCACGCTTGACCTACCAGCTTAACTTTATGGGAAACTTTTCTCAGCTAATAAAGTGAAAATCTTTCAAATTGATTCAACACGGATGAGAATGCACGCTGCGCCGATGGAAAAATACACATCGTTATAAACAATGGTTATTAAACTATGTATTTTGAGGAATTGGGTCAAATCGTCACATGACAATAATCGACGAAACGTTATTATCATGAACAAATGCATAACTGAACTTTTCTGATTGTTGGTATCATTCACCCTTCTTAATGGAAAAATTATCTTGAAATTTCAAGTAAGAAAACTTCATTTTCTTCTCCAAACCTGAAAACTTCTCCATTTGCTGGCCCATATGATGCACAAAATGTTCAAATGCACAAAGTGTCGAGCAAGCAATAATTTGCCTGAATTTCCTATCCATCGAAATTCAAATGAAAAGTGTCATTTTCTTGAATTTTCACGTTTACTGAAAAATTTAGTAATAACCTTTTTATTTTCATTGAATTGAAATTCATGTAACTTTGTGCCTAAAATTTCAAGAAATTTCGAACAGCGCTATGTCACAACCCAAAGTTGAGTTAAATCCAACAATATTGTAATTTATAATTACAGATGAATTTCGATGAATGAAAAAGGCATGGGTATAATTGAAATATTATTACCTGACACTAAAAAGGATCAACAATATTTTTGCACTTTGATGAACTTCTCATTAGTTATCACGCAATACCTAACTTCAAAGTCATAAGTGTTCTGAAAAGGCCTTATGACGTACACTCACTGCTTCTCTCACATATTCGAATATAATACGTGTAGTACACGCGCAGAAAATTGATCAGGGTGTGCAACAGTTCTCGCGTGATTGATCGGTTAGCGCCTAATAAGAGACTTAATGTAATTAGAGTTTTAAAGTATATACTTTTGAAAAAATAACCAACAATGATCGAACGACTTTTTGATGGCCATTCTAGTTTTAATAATACAATATTGACGCGACCATTCGAATGAAAAAGTAAATGAATTTTACCTAAGCTATATCAGTTCCCATTCCACGATAACGTTAACGCTCGTTCTTCGCAAAAAATCTGTATGCGGATAAATATACGTGATATATATGATATAAAGCAGTTTTTGGTCGAAACGAAATCTCACATATACGATGAATATACGCCGAATACGCGTGAATAATATATAAGTGCGCACATATGTGATATACTTCACACGAAAATAATATATAATTGAAGTGAAATTAATGCGTTTTATTTACTCGATTTCCAATCAAAAACAAAATTAAGTTCTAATTATTCTTAGAAGATATTTATATTGTCAAACACAACATTAACACAACATGCTAATAATTGTCTGTGACGCATATGATATATTACATTCTTTGGCGGAATTTATGTACGTTTTCCGTGAGGGACTGTTTTTTGGCCGAAATATATAAGCATCTAATACGTATAATAATAAAACATATAATATATGCACGTAGAATCGATATGTATTGTAAAACCGATTTCCCTACGGGTTTTCAATGGGTTTTACTTTTTAGTTGTGCCCGACCGTAAAATATTTATAAATATTGATAAATTGAAACTATTCAAAATAGTTTTTACTATATTTTTGTAATTAGGCCCATTCAGACAAAGTTAATACAGAGATCAGTAAGCGAAATGCATTATCGCCACCAATTATATAATTTTTTGTCTTTATTTATCAAGTCAATTATTTGCAACGATCAGCAGAAATAGGTGGTAAACGGATGCGCTTTTTATAGTGATTACCAGTTTTACTTGTGAAGAACAATTTACGAAAAAATGCCTTCTGGTGCGGTGTTCTAAAACTAAGTGGTTTCGCCAAGTTGACATGCTCATTGAATACATTTGTGTAGATTTATCATAGAATTTCTCGAAAGTCGGAGCATTACCCATGTTAGTTTTCACGGAAAGTAAATGTGTTATTGCTGTTGGTAAATCCAGACGAACGGAGTAATTTCGGATTGTACTGTCCAGATAAGTGATAAATTCAAGCTAAAGTAGAATTCACTTAAGTAAATAGAATTTGAAAAATTGGAGATACTGAATTGTTTTCCAGGAAATGTGTTCGATAATTCGAAGCTTACTACAGTGGCTCGAGGGAAGAGTGAGTGGAACAGATAGAACTATTTGAGTTCTTAACTTTTTGGGTGGAATTTCTCGGAAAAAAATCCTCTTTGACACTTCATTTCCACATCATTCGTTCTTACCTCGAATATTTTTTTAAATAACCAATAATTTTTCATGTGAATCAATGAATCTATCAAATTCACTGCCCAGCATGATAATTTTGGAGAAGATGGCTCGATAGTGGAATTGTTCGAATAGCTGTATTCCTATAATTAAGAACAACCGGTGCTTCGTATTTTTATAATCCACCTTAGTGTCTTATATCATGTGACGTGAAATGTCGAAAAAGTTACTATATGTATAATTCGAGTTACTTGAATCGCACACGAAAATCATAAAAATTTACAATAGGAAAAATTAATAGAGATGGCGTGATTTCTTGTCCCTTGATAGTAAAAAAGTTGAATAAATATTTTCAGTGAATATCTCACTCACTATTCCATAATTGAGATGAAAAGAATAATAACGGAGTACCGTAATATAGCGTGCTGAAAAAAATGAAAGAATTTTATGATAGAGGATATCGTAGGCGCACTTCCATGCAGTAATCCACAATCCTTTATTTTTTAAAGTAATATTCAAATAAAAATGTCATGGTTGCTTTGATATACAGGAGTTCCACTTTAATTGGATCAACCATGTGGGAGGCTGCATTACTTCATTTAAATTTAGTCGATTGTGAATTATCTGCCCAAAAATGTGGAATTCCAGAGAGAAAAAAGTGGTTTTAAACTGAAGGTAAAGACTGGAATAGAGTGAAAAATTGAACGATTATAAAAAATTGATAGATGTTTACAAATTTAAGAATCGCCTCCGCAAGGGGAAAAAAATAATGAGTTTCATAGGCAGAATTAAAAAATTATCCTTGGGAGGAAATATCTGATGGTTTTATTCTACACGTATCCAAATTATGGGACGGATTCTTGGCAATGTTGAAATTATCTCAATCGTCACTAACTTGATAAGCAACATATTAAATCCGTTAAGTAATGCTGACGTTATTTATTCGACAAATTTTTCATTGTAGGAGCAATAAGATAGGGAGAATCGTGTCGGTTCACCACTTCACTCATGGGAACGTCGCAACCGCTACGATGCTACGTATTTTAAAATTGTAATTAGGCACTTACGATTGTCAAAATGCTCTTTGTTGTCGAGTCTCTCCTAGTTATCCTCTCTCGTCCTGTTCAGCACTTTTACGTTATTCTATCTTAATTAATATCCGCTTAAGACGATTGATGCACACGAATCAATAGGATGTACTTGCGAGCTAGACCGGGGCTCACAAATTATTCCACAGATGCCGAGAGACCGAGGCTTCATCACCTCAAACCCAGACGCCACTGGAACAATATTTTAGCGACCCCAACTACATTTAATTGTTGCCCTACGCGTGGGAGGGCGCCACTCTTTGCTAGGTCAGTTTTTTTTCTATTGGATAAACAATAAATACATTTTTCCAAACACTGTAGTATATACTTTATAAGAAATCCAATGGGAAGCGGCATAAAGAAACTTGCGGATCTTTGATTTTTTATCGGATGAGGATGTAGAAAACTTCTGGATATTATTCGTATGTAGATAGCCGACAGATAATCGCATTTAGTTTTATAGCTACATACGAATGTCAGCATGTGGAGCAATAACATAAAATAAATAATACTTTATAAGGTAGTTTTATCAAAGATTCCCAAATTTATAATATTAAATTACAATTATCATTAACCGTAGGTAATCCAAGTACAAATACAGATACTAATCTCTGCTAATTTAGCAAGCTTTAATAATTTAAAAATAATTTTTAAATACTTCAATATTTTATGGTAATAATCATACCCCAAACAATTTCCAGTCATTTCACTAATAGTATTTTCACTAAATTCACTTTCTGATTACTTATTATATTTTTACAGTCTCTGATTAATTAACGAAGTGAGATTACCGATTGTACTTTTAGTTTCCAATCGAATAATTGAAATTACTGTTTCATGGTGAATTATATTTTCCAATTATGGTGAACTAGGAAAAATCATTAATCAATAACCAGTCATAATATTGTAAAAATACCACTATAATCAATGAAAAATTATGAAAAAATTTTCCCACTAAAGGGTCTGTTCAATGAAAATTACTTCACCAATCATTTTGTTCATATAATTTAAACTTTTCAATCAAATACAACTTTTTAACCGTTCTCGAAGCTTCTGCAAATTCTATGAATTATAATTCATAATTTAAGAACTTCTCAAAGATTCAACATATATGTTGAATCTTTGAGAAGTTCTTAAATTTTCTCGAAATGTCTAAATTTAAACTTGGAACGTGAGGACGATTTTTTTTCTTTTTTCTATATAATACATTATTTTGGTTCCACTGGGAAGTGCTACTCAAACCGATAATCAATCCCTGGGAGGGGTTTTAATCGTTCCAATAAGTAAATTTAAATTCCCGTCGTCACAAAATGGTTGCTCAGTTGGCGGGAATTCGAATTCAACCATTCATGCCATATTTTCAATCCCCGCCATTTTCGGTTTCAGAAGCAACTCCTATAGTCGGCGAAACATCATAAGTTTTAGTTGGCGAAAAACGAGCAAAATCGTTCTACAGATGCAATTAATTCCTTAACAATACCATCACACTTCTCACCTATGCCAAATTATTGCTAAATTATAGGCATTGGCTCCCTTCCAAAATGTATTATTTGCCTGCTAAGATATACATCTGTGTGCATCTGGGTGCAGTATTGTAACATAAATTGATAATTCAATTGAAATAAATGAGGGAATGTGCCCATTTTTTTGCACACAGGTATGTATTAATGTTGTACATACAATCTACTTAGGGTCATTTATCTAATGAGCGACGTATGCAGGGTGTCCTGTATTCGTACGCGTTCGCTGTACTCACCATTTCTCGCCTATGAATTGGTACGAGATCCTTCCCAAACCTTCTTTTCCAACTTTACTAAATTGTTCTCTCAGTGTAGAAATATGTCATTCAAATACTGGTAATTCACCTATAACAATTATAATAGAATAATGGAGAAAACTCATATTACTTTGTAAACTTAGAGCTGACTTGAATTTGGGGTAGTATGAGATAGTTATCGAGACAGCAATTTTCGCCAGTATATCTTCTAAAATTTGACAGAATACCGACAATTCCTTGACATACTGTTACCTGGGCAGGTCAAACAAAATTATAAATTATTCCGTCTTATCTTGTTAAATTCGTTATATTCATATAATTTATCGTGAATTTGAATCTATCATAAAAAGTTTGTCATGTGAAGATCGTGTCCCTTAACCCATTACCCTCTCATTTCAAAAATAAAAAAAAAAAGTTTTCGTCGTGGATAACAACGTCTGACGAATTGACGAAGGATTGATGCTGTTAGTTTTATAGTTGAAATTTCGGTAAAAATAAAACTTTTCATATATGTACAAAAAGGGTGTCACATGGTTTTTTGTCCCTCAGAAATCGGACATTTCTTCAGTAATTTACTTTTCTGTACTCAGCATTTCTCGTCGTGAAATTGGTGAGCATACTCCGCAAACTCAAAAACTTTAAAATCACCACGAATTAGTGTATATCTATGCCATTGGGATGGGGTTTTTTACGTCTACGGAGTTGGCGTCCGAGTCGAGGGCGACGATTGGCCAACGACACGAGTGAAAAAAAAAATCATACCAACAGCCCGGGCAACTTATTTTTCCATAGTGATTTTCAAAGTTTTCGGGGTTGGAAAGTATGTTGTATCAATTCTGAATAACTCAAATTTTCGAGGTACTTAGTCGATTTTCCAGATTTTCCAGATTTTTCTTTTATTTTCACCACACTCTACTGCACTTATTGATAAATTTTCAGGGTGCTCAGTCGATTTTTACGAAAAGTAACTTTAATTCATTTTCCCGATTTTCTTTTTTTGGGCAAGTAAATTATCTGAGATAATTCACTCCAGATAATTTAGCTGAGGTAATTTTGTTCCCCAACGCTGCCGAGCGGGTGCGGTGGGGTTTTTTCGGTGGTGCGATTGGCTTTCCTTGGGGGAAATGCCAAATTCCCTCACCATATTTATCCCCTCCACCTAGTTGATTCATCGAATGAGTCCACGCCGTTGAAAGTTTCTTATTCGATGGTAGTCGAGCGCTGACGAGCGAACGTCCGATTATTCGTTCCTCACGCTTAAACCTCAATTTCGAATTATTCTCAAAGTCGTTTGAATTAATCAAAGTAATCGTGTAAATTTACTTCGCGAGTGAGTATTCAATAAGTGGCAACCCCGTTCTGGGCTTCGGTCTGAAGGTGTGTGGTATATTTCCATCATAATAATGGATCAATATTATATGTGAATTGTTGAAATACACGTGTGTTTGCAAAGTGCTCTGTAACAGTGGTATTGGATTAATAAAGTCATCTGCATGGATACTGGATACATTCTCATCGTTTCCTTGGATATTTACTACTGATGGTTCATTGAAGGATAAAATAAAATGAAAATCTGTCGTGGATTAGTTCAAATCAAACTAAGTACCGGTCTAATATTCTCTCTGACAGAGTCTGTTATGATTCATCCCCCTCATGATCTCAGTTTTTATACTTTTTTTCCTTAGACTGATCGTAACCATGTGCGAAACACATACCGCTCCAGCTCTCATATTCTCAAGTAGAAAAAGTCGAAAAAAACACCAAAGCATAATTCACAGCTTCCGAAGCTCAGATTTCCATGTTATTAAACCATTTTATGTTATTTAATCGTGTGTCACTTCAAGATACTACCCTCTCTTCTTGGTTTACGACCGGATGTATGATCATTCGACTTAATTAAAATTACCAGGGTTCGCACGTTATTCAAAGACTAAAAAAAAAAGGGCATAAAAAATGAAGCATGAATAGAGATGTCTACGTCAGTTGATTAAAATCCATTTGATTTGTGGAAAGAATGAGACAAAACCGTACAACGTCTTTTGTATTCTCGGAATAAAGGAAGCGATGCATCAGGCGTGCACCATAGCTGGTCCATGGTGGTACTTAAAATAAAAAAAGGAAAGATTGAGAAAAGCAGGTAGTAGGAATGGCCTTTCAAGATCGGATGGTGGGCTTAGCAAGGGCGGTGTTTGGATGGTGACGGCACTGAATAGTACAGCATCTGCGCACTACCTTTACCTACCCCCTGGAAGCATCACCCTACACCAGCTGTCCGCCAACAACATTCGGTTTTCTTCGGATAAAGAGCAAATCCTCACCTCTCACAAAATCCCCTACAAATTTCCGTTTTTCAATATCTCTATAAATAATCAAACCGACGGGGTTTTAAAATTGACTGGGCGACACGTGCTACAATTATGGGAATGGACCACTTCAATGAAAACATCTATAGTCAAGTTGAAATTGTTCTATTTAATGGAAGATCTTCACGTTTCTTTTCTCCACGAGAGACTGATTCTTTTAAGTGAATCTGAAATTCAACTTAACCCTCTGACCTCTATGGTTTTGCTTTGTCATTATGCACATGACAAGGGCCTGTTCTTACATTTGGGTTTATGTAGAACACAGGTCTCCCACGCCCATAAACATGAACAAGAGTGGAGAAAATTCTTAAAAATAAAAACATTAATGTCCTACGCAGTACATTAATAAAACAATTGAGGAATTTTGTCCCATTGACATAATATGTTAGTCAATTATAGGATGGGCAGAAAAATAATAATTATTTTGGTAAATTGATACGGCCCTGAGTGTCTGCACAGGCAGATGCACGCTTAGCTGTCGGCTGTACCGATCAATAAACCCACACCGCACGAGGAAAGTAAAGAACTTCTCTCTCAGGGTGTCCACCCCCCTACTTTTCCCCCTGGCGACTACTTTTTCACTTTCTATATGTGGGATCAGCCGAAAACCCTCTCTTTTCTGCCCATACTTACACTTGCTTTTTTTCCACGCCTAAAAAAACCCGTTGAACTCTAACCAGGGGTGAAATTCTTAATAGTTTCTAAAATTTGACCATCATAATTTCTAGGCTAAATCAGGAAATCGAAAAGTCGAACGATTGCAATGCCTCAATTCGGAAACAAAAAACGAAAAATTTGTAATATCTCGGGATTTTTCTATGAACGCGTATACAAATTGTCATAGTTTTATATGACGCCCACTAAGATGAGTATTGAAATAAAATGTTTAATCCGTCTAGTGATTCATGAGATATTCAAGGAAATACATCCACATAAAAGGTGTAATATCCCGGAAACCGCTTGGCCTATTACGCCCATCCAAAACTATGTTATTCTATGTTATGCGTGCTGCAAAATTTGTACAAAATTTCAACTTGCTATCTCTACCGTCTGTTAATTGATCACATACTTTATGATAATAAAATCTAAAAACGGCGATATCACGAAGTTCTATCCGAACAAATGTAGATATTTCGATTGATATAGATAGAACCCACTAAGACGAGTGTTTTGAAAAAAAAATTGAAATCCTTGCAGTAGTTTTTGAGATATTGGGGAAAAACAAAAATTACAAAAGTTGCTATATATCAGGCACTACTGCACCAATCGAGCTGCAACGACACATCAAAGTAAAGGTTAATGATATAGCTATCATAAGTTAAAAATTCAGATTGTTTGGCGACAAATTTTAGCATATTTATGTGGAATTATCTCAAAATTAATCTTCAAAATATCGAATTTTCCAGCACATACACACAGACATGATCTAAAAACTTAATTTTTTTGCGTTTCATAACATTCTAGATAAGTTGCAATTAAAATTAGAGACTCCAGAAATTGGTTGAATACAAGGCTTCCATTCGAAAGCAACAATCGGAAAAATAGCCCACACCTCGAAATTATGTTAAAAATCACTTGAAAATCACAATTTACTATTTTATTGTTCGATTGCTTTTTTTAGATTCCACATTTGGAACTTGAATTTCAGGAGAACCTTGAAGATTTGTACCAAAAATTTCCATAACAAATTATAGTATCCAGTAATTTACTACATTACATGGAAAGTCACGAATTTGCGCTTCGGATGGGGAAAAAAGAAAGTTGAATAAAAATAATAAAGAAAAAAATCTGTTGTGAAAAAATTCTTTAGGGATTTTAGTTCTCCCATATCTTTATGAATTATTAATACTGTCAGGTTTTTACAATCACCTGGGCGATGAATATGTCAATACACTATTAATACGAAGAATTAAATTTCAGTAATTCGTAAACGAAAATGAAGGTCAAGTCCTAAATACGGAAAAGATACGCATTTTTAATCAAGCCTTCCATTACGGTTTTCGGAGCTTTCTGCGTTAATAATAATTCATTGTTTATGAAAAATCGCGGAACACGATTTTCACTCGCATTTTATCAATTTTATCTTTCTGCAGAGATTATATGAATTATGATGACGGAATGGTTGATTCAGAAACAACAGAGCAGATATGTTAGAGGACCCTTATTATGAATTCTTATTATGGAAGTAGAAACACAAAAATGAAGTTCGCCCGAGTCGAAATATCTCGAAACGCGTAGGACTAATTCCTCATTGGTGAACTCGAACCGTCAAATTCAAATGCGGCGTCCGGAGTGTGCAGTAGGTCTCTTGAGTAGGGTGCGAAATGTTGAGGCCCAAAGAGCCAGAAACACAGAATCTAGAACCCTTTTTGTGAAAACTCCCAAGGCCAGAGAATACTTTTGTTTTACTCTATTCAATAAAATTTCAATCATCACAATATGTAGAGCCATTTTGTAATATCATAGGAACCCGTAATCACGCCATTCTAACCTCATTTCGTTCACGAGAATCGCAGATTACGGGCCCAATGACATAAAATAGTATATGAACCACGTGTGTTATGCTTTTTTTGACTCGTGGGATTGTAACAAATAAAAATCCATCCCGCACCTCTTGCATAATATCCTATCCTAATTTCGACCTTAAGGCAGTCTCACAGGATAAATATGTATTTTAATAATTATATGTGACGTATTGAATTTTGGCCGAAATATATAATTAATATAAATTAATATATAACTAATATATATTTGCATATATATTGTGTTTCATGCGGCTACTAATTCTAAGCTCTAAAATGACTTGAGAGACCTTACTCCATCGCCTTCTACAAGGCGATGACTTTGAGGGAAGAGAAAGAAAAAGAGAGTGGAATCTGCCTCTTTCACTTTATTAAACTTAACCTCAACCTCAACGACCCAACACGAGGCAAAGCCAAGGCACATGTCGGGTGGCACTAAAGTTTCCCACCGCGCATTCCGATCGCGCAGAACAATACAGCACCTCACAACTACACAATTATACATAAATGGTCTTCAGAGTAGGAAAGGGTAACTTCTCCTACCGAGATCATAAGGAGTAATGTTCTTGAAATCACATCCGCTTCATGAACGGCCGTCAGACATACTGGGCTTATTTCCACCCAGGAGTTGGACACGAGTAGAATTCAACTAACTCGTTAGTGACAACACAATGATGATATATTCTCGGTGGAAACGTGACTGGCATTGGCTATTATTTCAAACGTTAAAATAAATCCATCCAACTTCTTTGGAGTTTATATTTATCCCAAAATCGCTTCATCTTCGTATGGTTGAGATATAAGCTCATTGCCAATTGCAAAAAGTCCAGAAAATATGTTCTGAAATGACTGAGTCCACAAAATATGTTCTATGAATGTAGAATGACACTCTGGTTTACCATCACTATGATTTAACTGCGAAATGACTCCAGCTGTCACTTATGAGCTAAAAATCGTATCTTACCATTGTTTAACTCGTAATTTATCCGGGACCTAGTAAATGACGTTCGAAATTTCGAGTTTTGCGGCTAGTGAATTCTCCATTTATTCTTCTTATTATCCTACAGTGATTTAAACCCGCATGTACTTTGAGGGTTGAATTTATTATTTAGTATTATTTAGATTTTACAGACTGCTTACAGATTGTGTAACAATTCCTTGTAACAGCGCGTATTCACATGGTATACAGGAATTTTTTATTGGATTTTAACTTGTAAATGTACATTAATTCCTACCGTCGATGAAGGGTTAAGCGTAGATGGAGAAGACCCTTGTACCGCTCTACTTTATCGCGGACTTAATGTCATTATTTCTACTCGGAATACCCATTGGAAGACGTAACGCATAAAGAATTTTACCCACGTGCTAACCACGTGGTAATTCTGCACGTGGACATGACTCCTTCGATTTTTTCGCTTCACGTGAAATGTACTATTCCGTTGACATATGAAAAATACCAATTATTACCAGACTAATAGCAATTATGTAATAATGTGGGGATTCAATTAGATTGGTATTGTCATAAGGAGCATTTTATTAGTAGACAAATTCATTTCATAAACTCAAGTTTCACAATATTTAACAAAAAACTTTAATAAATTGCGATAAAAAGAGAATGCAATTTTTTGCGTTAAAATAGACAGGATTAAGATAATAGAGTACATTTACTTTACAAGAGTAAATTAATTGACCCGAATAATTTTTTCGGCACAATAAAAATGCAATTTTTCTTTCAATTAAATTACTGAGTAGCTTTAACACCATAGAAAAATCATTCATCCACAGAATTGGTATTTATTCGAGAAACAGTTTGGTACAGAAGAAACAATTCTGTGATGGTAATGCTATTTTCATTCCAGAGTTTCGTTCCTGGTGGTAACGTTACCGGACTTACGTTCCCAGTTTAGTTTCCCCTCCCTGAACGTTCCGGTAAATGAAGCGCCAAAAACGCCATTTCGTTTTATTCGTATTATTCCAGAGTTTCGGTTCAAGTCCTTGATTACGATACCTAGTTGGCACATTTGGAATTAGGAAGGAATAGACAGTTCTACTAGTGCACACTTAGTTCAAATATTGTTTGACTGAGTTCTTTCGGGAAAATGTGATGGATGCTTGTCAGTTTATTGTAAGCCTTCTTTGATCGTGAATTTAAGACATTAAAAAATAATGCTTCTCTACATGTTGTTGATTTCTCCTTCTTTTTGCTCCGTCTGGACCATACGTTTTATGATTCTCCTTTCAGAGATGAAATACTATCGCTGAAATCGTGTCATTTAATGTCGATTACTGCAATAAATTTCTTCTTATTTCACTAGAAATTAGTACAATTGGTTGTTAGTGCAGTCACTGACTTCAAGCAGGCAATTCTAGTAATCTTGCCTACTATTCCACAAGCGAGAGCCTTATCGACAACAATCTCTACAACGCCTAAACTGTTGTCTCAGCTTAAAGATGAAGTGAATAGTTGAACTGAACTGAGCTTTAAATGAGAAATAATAAATAGAGAAAGTGGTAGTAAGTTTGTGATTGAAATCAAGTCATCTTTTACACTGGACTCTTGTGACGATCGCAGGTGTGCTTGCTGCCCAGCCAAGGATACCATGATGTACACAATGTTATGTCATCCACCAGGCCCGTCTAAGGTTCCCCTCGCTATACTGGCATTGATCGCTGTTATGACTAATGGTGAGTAAAAATTTTTCTAATACGGATGTTGCAATTTTGCTGATACTAGTTCTTGAGACAAAGTCATCGGTTCTACTTCTACGGATGTTGATTCACCACACGATTTTCTATCTTATTCGAGTCCATTGGCGTTGAAACTAGAATGTTATCAGTATTGTTTTATTTAGAGAAAGACACTCAACACAATAAATAAAATGCTTGGGCCGGTCTATTAATAATTCAGAGGTAAGGCCAGTCAGATCAATGTTATCACCCGGCCCGAAGATATCTCGGGATAATAGTCAAGCATCAGACTTCATTTCTATATGATCATTCTTTTGGTTCTGTTTATTGGCATCCCTCAGACGGGATATAGTTTAGAGTTCGAATGGGGGACGTACTTTTATTGTCCTAGTAAGGTAAGTCGCCGCTTATCATCTTCCTTTTTCCTCATCTCCCTAGGACAATAAAAACACTCGGTTAGTCGGGCCTCGTATCGCAAAGTCACACATACCACACCGTCTGAAAAGCATTTTAACAACATATTTGATCAGAATCCTAATAAACTGCCTTCCCGAAATACTTTTCGGCCCTTGTAACATAAATTACTATTTTTAATTTTGAGCTTGCAGTAACTGCTTCACTCCCCGCGTTCAATTGGCCGGTTCCTGTACTATGAAATATAAAATAACTTCCGCTACTCGAGTTTCAATTTTGTTAACTAAAATAATCTTTCTCCACGCGAGTTAACCAAAGAAAAAAAATATTTGGGAACATTTCTAGCTTGTTTTTCATGACTTTTGATGGGATCTTTATTGCTACGATGATCAGTTATTATCAAACCTTCTCCTTATACGTGAAACGGAAAAATCACCCTTGGAGGGGTGTTGCACCCCTCTAAACAACGTTTCAGCTAATAAAAAAAAACACATCTGTCATAGATTTTGACCCTCTATAACATACACTGTTAAAAATATCTAGAGTGGAATTACTACAAATGTAATGGAAGTTTTATGCAATTACGGTCTAGTAAAGTCACTACACTATATCATATGTTGTACGAGAATTCTCGGACACGTAGAAGTATAATAGAAGTTATAGATGAGTATAGGAAAATTACTACACAGAGAACAGAGTTTCGTTTAAGATGTACTCTAATTCTCCTAATCTGAACATTAATATAATGCCTCGGTATATACTTTGCAGTGAATTAATCTGTTGAATTTGTCGTTTTCAGTTGTAAGAGCTGAAGATGAGTCGATGGGACCGGTATTTGTCAAGGAACCCCCAAATCGTGTGGACTTTTCTAATGGAACTGGTGCTGAGGTCGAATGTCAGGCTCGAGGTAATCCACAACCGGATATCATATGGGTTCGTGCTGATGGTACTGCTGTTGGAGATGTTCCTGGACTAAGACAGGTCAGTATTTATTTACTTTCAAGTGCAACCTCCAATTTTAAACTTACTGAATATCCTCCGATTGATATGCGATTTCATTGAACAAATTTGCTATCAGGATTTACTGCTAGACAAAAGCACTTTTATCTAACTCGCATAATGGGTTATTCATTGAATTTCCAAAGTTGATTAATTATTTCATTCTTAAAAAACATTTACAAGAATTTTCTTGGCAATTTTTATATTATTGCTGGATAACCAGCGATGATCTATCAGTCGCTGCTCTTTACTGTATACGTTGAACCAGAGTTGCCAGACGGCGGTTTTTTCAAAATATTTTTTTGATTTTTTGCAGTCACAGTTAATCGAGTGACGCCAATCACGCGAAGAATTGATATTTTTCGAACCACATAGTTGATATTTCATTCAGAGCTTATTATGATCTACCCTACTCTGAAAAAATTATTAAAAATTTTTGGCAAAAATCCCCGCCTGGTCACCCTGCATTGAACTAGGGACACGTGTATAATTTTCGATTTTTCAGGTTTTGCCAAATGGAAATTTGGTATTCCCACCATTCCGAGCTGAAGATTATCGCCAAGAAGTTCATGCTCAGGTTTACAGCTGTTTAGCAACATCTCCAGCTGGATCCGTACATAGCCGAGATGTCAACGTCAGAGCTGGTAAGGTCTCGGCCTAGTTTTTATATTCATTCCTATATTCCCGTCATAATTATGAGCCAAATCTAAAGAGAAGTAAATGCGTAAGTTTTCGTCATCGACAAGTATGCGAAATTGCACAATAGCAAATAATTATATTATATTCTAATAGCATACTAGGGTGTCCCCAACTAAAGCGTTATATCGGGTCATGCCTTACTAACCGCGGCTACTATCTGAACGAGCAAGATTACTACTAGCGTCAGCCTACCTGTCATATTTCATTGGCAGGACAATCTGTTTGCAATTGAAAAGGTTAACGAGATGTCCCTTGCGTCGCCACCGCTGCAATGTTACTTCCTCGTATACCCCCATCGCTCTATTAATTGTAGGAAGTTGGAAATTAGGTCTCTATTCGTTACAATTCCTTCAGGATTGCTAAAACATAAGTTCTAGATTCATTTTTTCAGATTTTCGATTACACGAACAAAAAATGCAAGTTGTCGTTCGTGAAGATTCCAAACTGATAAAAAAATTGTATAAAATCACAGATTACTGCTTGCAAGTGAGAATTTTATATTCGCATATCACGTATGGAATGCCCGAACACATATTGACCTAAGGATAAAGGTATACTACGCACGTCACACACATTTATTTATCAAAAGCAGGATCCTTAGTACCTTTACGTAAAATTTACCGTCTTTGTCGTACTCAGGTGTCACATACGCCGATACGTACCCCAATCGAAAACGATGGAGAAAACAATTTATCTTCTTTCGGACAATTCAAAAACTTTAAAATGTGAAATAATTGAAAATATCCAAAAGATAAAACTTGCAAATATAAAGATTAATCTCAAAGATTTTGTAGTGAGCTCAATATTCAGCCAATTTTTCAAACTGATTGATATGAGTATATGTCGCCAAAAAAATGTAACGGTGTTCGCTATATTTCAAAATATGATTACAAGTTCCTGAAATATTGAATTCACGCAATTTGCATTTAGGAAGATTGCAATACAGTGATGGCTTATTTTCTAGCATGACAATTGAACAGTTATAACATCTTTTATAGAAAAATTCAGCGATCTCTTAGCTGCCATTCAGAATCCACATAGAAATATATTAATTATACGCATATTTATTCCAGTCAGAAATGCAATATTTCCGATAAACTCCCGGCTAAAAATATGTAACATATATCTCACGTATAATTATTAACATGTGTATTTTTTCTGTGAGGGATCTTAGTTGTTTCCATCGTTTTCATAATAAATTTAATTTTGCATCGGCATAGAAAGCAATTACTACTAGGGTATCGCCGATTTAACTTCATATTAACATTCCTCAATCAGAATTATTATTGATCAACAGTGGTCGCGCAGTACTATGATACAGACGTAAATAAGGAGTATGCAATACGTGGAAACAGTGCGATTCTGAAGTGCGTTGTGCCCTCCTTCGTTGCAGACTTTGTTAGCGTCCTGTCTTGGCACACTGACCAGAATGAAGAGTTTGTCTCGGGCGATGAATATGGTATTAAATTAAATTGATATCCCAGAAACATCTTGAATAGATTACCGGACATTCACTCTGTCTCGTTTGCATCTCTTCTTTTATTAGACAAATGCAAAAAGGAGCACTTCGGCTTGGTATAAAATCCTCACACTCGTCAAATAGTATTTTTTCGGCCAGTAGTTATGGGATTATTTTAGAGTCAATCATACGAGTAAAAAGCACAATAACTACCGCCCACGAAAAATATTTTTCCGTAGTGATGTTCAAGTTTTTAAGTTTGGCAAGTACAGTACCAAATTTCTGAGCAGCAGTACGGAAATAAATTATTTCGATACAAACGCGAAAAACTGGGTTTTGACTCATGGGAGTAAAATGTCACTTTACACACAACATGATGAAATAGTATATTTCCATACGATTACGGGGAAGTGCTTTTAGGCTCGTAGGAAATTCATATGGCACAAGCCGAAAAGGACTCCCAAAAACACATCGAATCCTAATCTTCATCACAATGTGTGTGATATAGGGTTTTGTGTGTAAAGTGTTATTTTACGCACGGCGTGACGAAAAAGTACTTTTTGTTTTGCCTGCCTCTAAAGTTCACAGTTCGGAAAGTAATTGTTTTCCTTACGTTATGTGTAAAATTCAGAGATCGCGTAATGCGTGTGCGTAAAATGAACTTGATTTTCACTCAGTTGGTGTATCTTTATTGCGTATCGTACCATTCGGTTAAAAAGATGAATATAAGTGCTGCACAGCGACTGTTTATAGCATCCGGTTTTCTCTGCGCGTTGTCCCTCTTTTGGCGTTAAGCTTGTTATTAACGTCATTCCCAGCTCGTTATTCCTATGCTCTGCATATGTAGACTCATATTCGCTAAAATAATTGGCGTATATATGTAAAAAGTATTCGAATACAGAGTGAATGTAAAAGGAAATATTCATGATTACACGGGGAAAAAATACTGAGTCAAGTCTATTGTTCAATGTTAGAAAATATTTTAGTTTTGTAATCGAAAAAAAATTTCAATCTTTGTGACAAAGAGTTCGAAGAGCTGCCGTCAACGTCTCTATGCACTGATGGAAAGAGGAAGAAAGGCAGCAGCCTTTCTCTAACTTTTCATATATAATTAAAATTTTATAGTTAGTCCCCACACTGAATAAACTATCGATAGGTATAGGTAATTGAAGAGCGTATCGTCCATGAAGATCGAGCACGACTTAATGAAAAAAGACACGAGTGAAGCAATTAATGTACAAAAGTCTAGACTATGAGATTTTAAAGATGACCAAAATTGTAGCAAACAGTTCATTAAGCAGACAGCAGAATTTGCATAGTTCAAATTGGCGTAGGAAATTACTATGTAGATTCAAATATAGATTGGCAAATAGTACCTAGCTCAGTAATCAGTTGAAAAAAAAACAATTCTCTGAAAAATACATCTTTACTTGTATGAAGAAACCTATAACCAAAAATTTCCAACAAGGCGATATCTTGTACTGACAGGAAAAAATAGTAATTAAGGGATTTAGTACTCATCCGTAAGATGAAGATTTTTTCGAAAATCATATCTTACTCGGAAAGAAGAAAAACTTCGATCGAAACATTATGTACTTGTAGCAAGGATGATGATGGTTTATTCATAGTGAAAGTGGCATTTCCGAAATAAAATTTTGCTTAGGGAATTTACTCACACGTTTTCTTCTCTAAAATCCAAAAGATTTCAATGTAAAACCGATTTGGTTCGAGAAATTGCCTTGTGGTTGTCAATTCATTGGTCATCTTTCGTAGAAGTACAAAACCTTTTGACTAAAATTTTGTCTCTACCTGCAAGATATCTTTTTCTTGGAAATTTGTGACTATGAGTTTCTTCATACAAGTATACTTTATAAAGATGCTTTTTTCAAAAAACTTTTTTCTCAGTGTATACCACTTTCAAGTGACTTTACTGAGACTAATAGTCGCCGTATGATAGAGTGGGATACAAATAAACGGAGATTGCGCACGGAGAATAAGAATGAAGGTACGTGTTCTAATAAACGTCGGGTCACTGATTCTACGCGTATTATGAGAGATCCAATTTCTGCCACTTGAAGACGTTGAGATAGATATCATATCTGATAACTAGCCGTTTGTTAATCGTTAAGGCCAGACAGCAAACAAATTGTTGTCTGGCCTTAACAAGCTGAACAAGTGGACATTTTTTATGTCGACATTTACTAAGTTTTTGGTAAATCACAAAAACTTTTATTTTGCTGGAGAATTTCTACACCTCTTGTACCGCCATCTTACGGCATCATGCGCAACTCGGGTATTTTGGCGCGAGAGGCGGTATAATATCCTTACGAGGACAGAAATGTCCAGTAAAATTTACCCGAAAAAACATGTAAAATTCACCGAATGTCACACAAAAATTTTTAAACATAACGATCCGTGAAATTCTTGTTAGATTTTATAGTTTCCAGGAAAATTACGTATTTTTTTCGTACTCTTTTAGTGACAGACTTAAAAATTTACTGAGTTTTCGATTTTTTCTCATATTTTCGTAGAAATTCACCTAAAATTATAGTTTTTCTTGAATATTTCTCTCCGTGTAATTCTCTGTATTTTATTCAGTCTCGTCTGCTTAACGAGAGTCACTTTCAATGTATAACATTGAAGGGGAGAAAGATGAATGGTGGACTCAGGAGGGGGGCATGAGCATTGGATTGAAGGTCACTTTAAATTTATTCCTCGTTATCGAACAGGATGACAATGCTTCGCATTGAAGGTATTTTAGAAATTTTCGTAAAGGGATACAATACCATCCTCACACGAAACCTAAATTTAACCTTTGAATTTGTATACTTCAAGTCATTTATTATGATGGGTGCTTGCGTAGATGTACGCTACTTCTCACTTCTCCTCTTTTCTAGAGATGTAAATTAAAAAAAAAGGTTATTAAATTAAATTTCTTAAATTCTTGCTAAGTATGATTTAATCGAAATCATACTAGCTCTCGGCGTAACTTAGGGTGTGCGACGTGGCCGCGGCTGGTATGAACCCCACAAAGGTCGACTACCTAGAGGTTGGCATCGTAGTACTTTACCCAAATTTTTTATTTCCACTACACGGAGCGAAAAATTCAGGAAAAATTACCTAACCGTTTGATAATTGTGTTGGGTTTTAGTCGTTCAAGAAAAAATTACCTAAAAGTTAGCCACATTTTCTCACCAATTGATTGGCTTTAATCCACTACTATGATTGGTTAAAATTCGAGATATTTAGATACCGTAAATGTAAAGAATTCAAAACTTTCGAATGCTTGTATATAGTAAAAAATTGATAAATCGTCTGGAAAATTGTGAGGTACATTGCAGTAGTAATCAGTAGTTCTGTAGATACTCGACACAAAAACGCTTGCCGAAAAATAGCTATATCTCAAAAAATACTTAATCCATGGATTTGAAATTTCGCTAAGATACGTCTTCATATAATTCCCATTCTTCCTCAAAACTCCAGATTGTTAGCTTAAGCTTTGGTCCTTTTGTGTTTTTGTTTAGTAAAAAAATTTGCACACAAATTTACTTCACACTTTGTATTTTCATGTTTCATAATAGTCTACGTGATTTTCAGACAAAATTAAAAAATTAAAAAAATGAACGATTACGAAATTTTCGTTCGGAACCAATATGAAGTAATATGTATTTCTGAGTTGATACTTCTTAATCAATCGAGATTTATTCATAACTAAATCTCTTCATTTCTTCAGTAGATTTTACGGTAAGCGAACCCTTGAAAAAATGTTTTCAAAAAACCCGCCGTCCGACAACACTCAGAACGACCCAAACTTACCTTTTATGATCTTTGCGAAATTTATACCGAATATATTGAAAAAATATATACAACTTATATTTTACATATTTTCCTCACGTAAATTCATTGAATTAAAAATAGTTTCTCTGACGAAATTTTCCATGCGGATAGCTGCAAAACGATGGTATTGTACCTGTAAATAAAGTAGAGCGTGTGTATCAAAACTTTCATAGAACATAGAATTTAGTGTCTGTCGGTAAAATAGATCGCCATAATCAGGACGTCGGTAAAAAGTCTGCCCGGACATTTCGAATTCAACTACTGTGGACATAAAGTCCGTTTTCGGAATTACCGACGAAATTTTCGGCCATGTACTTTTATTTCTTATATATCCGCTTTGGGGAGGAAATTACAGAATCTATTGTAACTCTTTGAGAAATAGTTTAACACTGCCGGTAAATATGATAGTTGTAATTTACAAAATTTGCAAAACCGTTTACTTCCGTTAATGAAACGGGCAGGTGAGTGGAAAGGGGAAGGTAGAATTTTTCGTTCCCATCCCTGAACATGAAAACGTGAAATTTTTAAATGCTAAAAGAAGCTGACTTCGTAGTCATTATTTCCACTATGCTATGATTTTTTAATGGTGACAAATAAATTTTGTTGAAAGTGTCGTACATATAAATATTAACAATATTTTAAGAAATTAGGATTGGTTAGATAGCAGCAACGTCGTACAGGAGAAAGTTTCTGCAGCGCAAGTTGGTAGCATTGTCTCCTTTTGCACACTAGGCTATTCATTAGATGTTATTGTTTACTTTCGTTTTGCTCATATGACTATATCCACATAAAAAATTAATAGTAAAAAACTAGTGATTAGCATATGATAAAAATCAGCGATACATTATTTTTCTAGTATTGATCCCCATAAATTGTTTTTAAATGCTATCCACTACTTAACCTCACTTACGCGTTCTCTAACATTATGCCTTGGTGAAGAGGAACTTTTTGCCTGCGGCTCGAACGCCCCATCCTAACATATTATTTCCAACCCGAGTCAAAATTTTCGTTGATTTGTCGACTTAATTCCAACTTCGATTAGTCCGTTTGCGACGTTTAAATGACGTTGAGAATCGACTGACTTTCGACGTAAATACTGGATTTTATTTCCAAATATTCCTCATTTTACGTTGAAAATCCATCGGAACTCAACGGACACTCAACGGGCTTTCAACGTCAATTCTCCTTTTGCTGGGCACGGGGCCCATCCCACCCTCTACGATATCTCCCTCCCTTGTGAATCATTAGAGTTTAATGAATTGCAAATTTTTATTAAAGAATAAAAGAAAGAAGTTATTTAAGAGTTACATTGAGTTAGTAATTATAAAAAGTAGTAAATCATTATTACATAAAAATTATGTGAAGCATTGCAATAAAGTCAAAACCAGTGGTAAATACAATAATCGGAAGACGCCGTTATGATAGTTGAGGGTACGTCGAAATCCCGAGTAGCAATTGAACGGGTTTTCGACGTCCGACGACCATTACATTGAGGCCGCTCGAAAGTACGTTGAAAAATGGGCGGAAAATTTCAACATCAAAGTGTGACGGTACGGGCAGCTAGAAGTACGTTGAAAAATCAACTAAAATTTTGACTCGGGAATATACTATTTCATCACGCTGTGCGGATAAAGTGACTTTATAGGCAAACTTGGTGTTTTCAAAACTGCCTGTAAATGACTTAATTCACACATTGTGAGGAATATTGTTCGCGTCACGTGCAGAAAACCAATTTTTCCAAAAATCACTTTTCCGCACCCGTTACGAAATATATTAATTTTAGCATTGCTGCTACGTCGTTTACTTCGTGCCGAAATGTGTCCTTCCGTTTATCTGTAAACGAAAAAAAGGTACAAGGTACAAAAAGTTAAACGTAAAATAAAAACTATCATTCGACGCATGTGTGACGGGGATTTGTCAGTCGGACTTGTAACGAAATATACTATTTCCTTCTTCATTTTAACCCATCGGAGGGAAGGATTCAGGATTATGTAACGTCTTTATATCAATGTGAGTTAGGAAATTCGAAATTCGCTTATCTATTTCTTACCCCCTTGTTTATACCAACACATTTCGCTGATGTTCGAAACGCATGATTTTTTTTCGTTTATGCGACAAATTTCATAAATATTAACTTTTATTTGCAATTTTGTTATTAGTTCCAATCGAATGTCAAAGTCCCTTTATTAATAAATCGATGTAAAATCTCGGAAACCCAAAAGAATCTTTGTGATTTCGATAAATTATAAGGATTAATATTTAATACTTATAGATTAGGTTGGATATTTTTCGAACTTGGTCGATTGCGATCATGAATGGCATCGTAAATTCATAAATAAATATCCGTAAATTAAATATAAAATATTTAACTGTCTTTTAACTTTTTGCGAAATGCAGAAAAATGTTGTGAAAAATTTTACTATAGTATTAGTTGAGGAAAAAAAAGTGCGAGGGCTAAACAAAAATTGTATTGCTGGTGCATCAATTTTTCAAGTATTGCATTAGATTTCATCTGATAAGTTTTCGTTCGTGTAATGTCCCGATATAACTCTTAGTAATTTTGCAGTGGTCCATCAATACTATCAGTCAGAAGTAAATAACGAATACGTAATTCGTGGAAACTCAGCTATTCTCAAATGCAGTATCCCTTCTTTCGTATCAGAGTTCGTCCAAGTAGTAGGTTGGCAAGATGATCAAGGGAACTCATTCAATCCTGACACTGAAAATGGTATACCATTTTTTTTAATTCATACAATTTCCTTCGAAGTAACGGGGTAATGCGCAGCGGCGGCAACGTATACACAATAATTAAAATCACCATCCACGCTGGATTCTAGATGATCAATGATTTTTTTTTCTTTTGTTTTGTAAGTTGGATAAAATATAACTAGTTCCTAGTGACTTTATGGCAGTAGGTATATTTGTGTTGATGTTATTATACTTCACATATGAATTTCTTTTCAATCGTATTTCATGCCGGGCTTTTACGAGTCTCACCCCCCGGCATTCGCTCATATATCAAGGGAAAACATCTCTCTGAGAGGAAAACTGTTGGTCAGGTCAAGTTGTCTAATTTTACGAGACACCTGCTTGACAATGAAATCATGAGAAATAAAAAATGTCAAAAATGATATCGCCGAAGATCAAACTCACGATTTTTCGCACGACAGTTTGAAGCCTCAACGACTCTACCATTGCTGTCAATACAATTATTTTATGTTCTTCTATGTTTCAATTTTTTTCCTGAAAAAAAAAGATATATATAAGCAGCGAACGTGGATGACTTATTTGTTCAGTTGTGGTGCAGTACTATGAAGCAGAGGTAGTATCAGAATACGTGATACGTGGTAACGCGGCAATATTGAAGTGCACAATACCGAGCTTTGTAGCGGAATTTGTGAGTGTCGACTCATGGGAGGGAAGTGATGGCTCAAAATATAAACCATCCGAAGACTACGGTATAATACTTTAACTTGTGTTACACACTTTTCACGGAGAGACAAGTCCAATAAAAATTACTTACGGACAATTTATATAAAATCCCATCACAGACCCGAAAATTTACTGAACGTTTCAGATTTTCCTCTTCTACTTCTATAGAAATTTACCTAAAATAATTGTCACATGCGGATAACGCAAGATGTTAGGTAATTTTTCTTGAATATTTCTCTCCGTGTTGTCTCGCTCTTTACGCACGGTTATTCAGATTTTCCGGGGATAGGCAAACAGCGGTGGCAGCGCTCAATCTCGTTGATGATTATTATCGTGGTCATTTTTTTATTTCATATTTTTTATTATGTATGGAAAACATCGTATAGTGGTAGCACAGACATATCAACCGGAAATAATGACTGAATACGTCATCAGAGGCAATAGTGCGATCCTCAAGTGCAGTATTCCGAGTTACATCGCCGAGTTTGTGACAATTGAGGCTTGGATACGTGAGGATGGAGAGGTTTACTTACCAGACGGCCCCGGGTCAGAACAGGGCAGGCATTGTTTTCCTAATTTTTCGAAAGCTTCAAAATTTTAATATGTCGTGTGTTGACCGTCACCTCCATTCGTCTGAAAAATCCAAATGCCTCTTTCTTTCATGTCCTCTCTATGTTAATCTGTAGCGAAGTGGTAGAACAAGGAAAAATTATAAATAAAACTAAAACTAGAAGATTTTTATCAAAAGCTCTGATTAAATCTTTTGTTATTTACAATCAAGTCCGATCAATTGGATTTTGGATATCGCGAGTTTTCGGGCAGAAGACCTTGCTATCATTTTTTCGAATTTATCGGCAAATTTGAACCGACAAACCATATCAACCCTTTTTCGTGAAATAGCAAATCTCGATGCTTCAGCTGATCCCAAATCAAGTCAACTAGACTTTTTTTTAACTTCAACTTTGGAAATATGAATCAGAAGTGCGCAGTTTGGTGTCCGGCCCGAATTTACAGGAGAATAACTTCATTGAGTTGAAAAAAAATTCTACGTTGATATGATATATGAGATTTGTTTCATAAACCGGCTTCTGATAATCAAAAATATTCTCACAAGAATTGGCCAATGAGTCGACGTTTCGATTCATTTTTTCTCGTTAACCACTTCACTACGAATTTTCCGTCATTGATCAATATTTATTCATAAATTAATTTGAAAAAATGGATATGCGCGAGCAGTGGTTTCACAATTCTACATAACTGAGGCTGAGAACGAGTACGTAATACGGGCAAATAGTGCTATAATGAAATGCAAAATTCCAAGTTTTGTATCCGAATTTGTCTACGTGGATCAGTGGACAGCAGATGATGGCACTATTTATCGATCCGAGGATGGGGACTATGGTAAAATGATAGAAAGTCCTGCAACGGATGTACAATCACACTGGAAAAAAAATTTAATTTTTGCCAAATATTCTTCCACTTGAGAGAAATATTTACGTTTCGAATATGAGATTTCTCCAAAATTACCTTGAGATGATTCTTATTAGATTTTTACTTATCATGATCCTGTTGTTCTCGATATGTCCTTGGGCGGACGTCTCCGATGGTTATTCATTTCGAATATTTTTATTTGAAAAATTTCAAAGATTTTTTTGATCTTACTCATTACGAACCCTTTTTTTATATAGCCAACACAAAATTCAACTGATTATTTTATTTCATTTTTTATTTTATTATTGTTTTTCGGACTTCACGCTCGTGATTTTTTATCCTAAAAAACTTGATTCCTTTATTTGTTTACAACGAATCTATGGGGAAATGCCCGACAATTTTGAAGCTCTTGTGGTATTATAAGTGATAATCTTTTAATAATTTTATCTCTTATCCATATATATGTATAAAACAATTAACTGTTCAATTGAGATAACCACTGATTGAAATTGACAGAATGGGTTTAGTTAATAAAATAAATTAACTAAGTTACTTTGGGAAAAACTGGGCTGGGGTCATTCGGTAATAAATGATCAAATACTTCTCTCGAGTAGACGGATATTCAGCGAAAATAGATTTGATTTCTCCGTGCATGCAAAGGGGTTGGATGAACAAAGGGAATTGACGAAGAACTCATTTTACATGTATTGACAGAAGTTATTAATATTATAAAAATTTAATAGTTGCCTTGTAGTCTGGGATGGAAAATTCTTTGAGTAAAATAATGGTCCACCCTTATTTCCACTATTGCGTGAAATATTGAATTATTTTTTAATTCTCTTCGTTCGTTAGCCCTTCAGTAAGAAAAAAGTTTTACCATCTAATTTTACTAATTGAGGACAAAGCGAGCATCGATATACTGTCAACGTCATATTAAGTTTTTTTTTGTTTTGTTAATTTCCTGTTTCTAGTCGTTCAACAGATTTATGAATCACGCGTCATCGATGAGTTTGTACTGAGCGGAAATACAGCGACTCTCAAGTGTCTTATTCCTAGTTTTGTTGCTGATTTTGTCGATGCTATTGAATGGATCGCGGATGATGGAACAAGTTATACTATCGATGATCTAGAGGAAAAGGGTATGAGAGACAGACAGGGAAAGATAGAGAGAAAGGAAGAAATAATTTTGTGCATGAGCGATCGAATTCGAAAATGCATTGCTATACACTGTCAATTATTTCTTGGAATTTCAGTTGTAAAATCACTATTTTAATAAAATTAAATTTCAGTTGTAATTCCTTCAATTATAGCCCCAAAAAACAATAGAATATTTCAACTTGATTCCAACCGGCAGATAGCTAAATTAATTTTTTGCCTACAAAGACAATGAAAATAATAATTGTAATTGTTTATCACAGGTTCATCTCAAGTTATGGTCATCGGCATAATATTTACCGTTAATTGCAGCACCTAAAATGAAATTCGTTATTAACATCATACTAATTATGATGAAAAACCAATCATCAGTTGCACACAATAATGCAATAAATTAAAAATTTTGCAGAATATTTAATGTTCATCGCCATTTGTCATGACAGTTGATTGGCGTGAATTTTGTTTTAATGGATTTAATGATTGGTACATATTACATCGACGATACATCATTGTGATTATTGTATCCATTTTCTTTGTATAGTGTCGAGAGGACAATAATTATTATTGAAATTTAGTGGGCTATAATGAAAGAAATTGACAGTGAACTTTCATTTTTATTATTGTGTCAATTTATCCTGACATTAAGGTAATTATCAAAATCGTATTCAAGCAGGATAAGATTAATATTAATAACTTCCAATTTTCTATCTTGAAGTTTCAAGTGTAATTGTCCAAGAGTGTACCTTTCTACCATTATTCAACTTTTTTGTGCATTCTTGTCCAACTGTTAATCCGTCCAACTTGAAAAAATGTACCATTTCTGAGTTTTATCTTTATGCAATAACTCATTAAATTTTACAGTTGTGCGTCTGTTTTCAACATTTTTTTATAGTTTTATGAATTGGCAAAACGGTTTAGAAAAAATGTGGAAAAATGGCTGCACGGCCATAAGACTTCTCAATGCATTGAATAATAATAAAACTCGTCTAGTGTACATTTTTTTCATGACAATGTGATGAACAATTTTTTAGAAATGTATAAAAAACCATGAAAACTGGTGTGGAAACAGCAATATATTTTTATTGTACATATTCTCGAAAAATCTTTCTCTGTTAAAATTTTTGTAGTACGTGAGTGGTTTTGTAACACTCGTAGTGAATTAAAAAATTGCGGGTTTGAGATACATGGAAGGTTATAAATTGGTTAGGACTACGTGGTCAGCGGCTGTCAACGAATATCTCTCAATTGTTGAGATCACCGGAAAGTTCTCTCTACACAAATCCTTCTGATGAATGTAATTATTTGGATTTCTAGTTGTATCGCAATACTTCGAGGTCCAAGTGTACGACGTATTCGCAATTCGCGGTAATGCCGCAATATTCAAGTGTCAGGTTCCCTCATTCGTAGTGGATCATGTGGATGTCGCGAGTTGGATTGATTCTGCAGGTGGAAATTATTGGGCTGGCAATGAGGAAGCGTCCAACGGTACAATAGAATGCAACATTGGATTGATATTTATAACTGACATCCCCAAGACTATTCCTCTAGAATGCTTATTTTTTAAATTTTTATTGAATGTTGTTAACATTGAATATCGTGTGAGAAGACGGAAAAACGGTGTCTGGTTGCAGTTGTCGGGCAGCGGTACGCAGTGAACGTGATGGATGAGCACGTGCTACGTGGAAATGCTGCAATAATCAAGTGTCATATACCAAGCTTTGTCGCCGAATTCGTGGAGGTTGCCTCTTGGCTCGAAGACGATTCCAGGGAAATTTACCTCACTCCCGATTACGGTACAACAGTACTAAATAATGCGATACATTAGTTCATTCATTATGCATCGCGTATATCGTTCCATTTCCTTAGCGCGAGCACAATGTTGGTAGACTAATATTACACTCACAAAATATATAACAATAGTTTTTTATGAAGTGCGTCTTTGCTTGTATTAAGAAATACACACTCGAAAATTGTCAACAAATAATTACTTTCAGTTATTGGCAAAGACATGGGAGAGGGTGCACGAAGAGAAATATTCAAGAAAAATTACGGAACATTTTACGTAATCTGCAAACGACGCGATCATCACATAAAATCTACGATCTGTTCCGTAAAAATTACTCATTCATCTGACGCCTCCCGGTTAGCTATGAGTCACCGTGAGGGGGGGATTTTTACGGAACGTTCCGTAAAAATTTTTGAACCTCCAATAATTTTTCTGTTCTGGGGCATAATAAGTCTTGAAATTTCATTCGTTTTTAAAATTTCCAGAAAAATTACGTGACTTTTTCGTATTTTTTCGGTGACAGAAACCGAAAATTTACTGAACATTCCAGATTTATTTCCCGAAAACGATTCTCACTGGCGGATTACGTGAAATGTTCTGATTTTTTCTTGAATATGTTTCTCTGCGTGTGATTTGGCGTTTTTCAAGCAACACCTCTCCACTTATATTTAAAGAATCATTCAAAAAAGATAAAACCTGCGTCAAAAAATAATGCACTTGTTTCAAAGATGATGATTATATATTTATAATGAAAATGGCATTTCTTAGACTGAGTCCAGCGGACGGAATCTACTCACAACTTTTCTTTTCTCCAATCTAAAAGATTGTCGCTGCAGCTGAAAAACTCGGAAACTATAAAAATATGATTCCTCAAGCGAAGACTAGCTGAGTGAATTTATTCATTTTTCTTTTCTCAAATCCAAAAGATTTCAGTGTAAAATCGTGAATCATGAATTTTTTTTCTTGAAAATTTTTGAGTATAAAAGGGATGAGTTTTTTCACACAAGTTTAACGCACTTCTCAAAAAACTTTTTTTTCTCTCAGTGTATGAGGGATAATCCATTTATAATTCACCGAACATCTACTCGTACATTCTATCTCATCTATTGTACGTCCCGATTCTTTCTTATTTCATATTCTTCGGAGTATTCTCTTAAAGTTATCTATAGTTAGGGTGATTTATACATTTATACATGGACGCATGAGACAATTATAGGAGTTTTAGATTAGGCGATGCCGAGGAATGATCGGACGAGTATTTTTCACTTTTTCGTTTTCGTCGATAAAAATGTAGTGTTCCAGATCCCGTAACATACTTTATACAATAGTATATTACGCAACAAGTGCGTTATAGGTTGCCGAGATTGCCGTAGCACGAGTGAAAAAACGCTATAATGCACGAATTTCGTATTTTATATGATTGGACCCAGAATTTGTGATTCTACCGAGCGAAGCGAGATTAGAGTCGCGGGTTTCTGGCCATCGATGGCATAAAAATATAAATGTTGTATAAACAAATTTAAATCTTTGTGAACTACAATTCATTTTAAATTGGTACTATTTTCTCACTTATTTTCAAACTATACTCCGGATCTGGAACGTATTTGATAACAATGTCCCAATTTCTGTCGAACCACGTAACGAATTTCATTAGTCTTCCTATACGGGTATTTCATACACTGTTGCAAATTCCTTGATATTTCAGTCAGAAAGTCATCTGAATTTTGAATTATGCCAGTTGGAATTCAATTTCTATTAAAAATCCTCACTACATTACTCATTAATTTTGAAAATTCAAGAAAATTGGGCTTTTCATCTTAAATGATAATTGATTTTTCAATAAAAGCTTGAATTTCCAGATTGATATTAAACATTCAACATGGAATACAAGTCCATTTTTAATAGATTGTCAATGCCTAAGTATTCAAGATATTAACTGAATCGTCAATGAAGAATTCTATGCAAATTTCTATTCTCTTTGTCGTTATTGAAAATTTCTAAGTTTTTTACTTGAAATTTCCAGTGGAATTTTTCAACAGTGTCCCAATTCGCATACCCCCTATTTTGTTTACACTTTTTTATACGGTTTATGGTCCATAAAAAGTTACTCTCAGCTATCATTAGTTTTTAACAGATAGTGAAAAAAAAATCCATGCGTTGAAAATCTACAAACAATGATTAAGTATTAAAGAATATATAATTCACTCTAAAAATAAAAGTTTCAAGAAGGTAAAGATAATAGGTAGCTCATTTCATATTAGTACCAGTATTTTTTCAATAAAATCAAATTACAAAAAAATCAGATTCTCTATTTATCAGATCGTTGTCATTCCGACTTGAATCAGATCTGACAATAGTGACAGTCAATTATTACGCGTAACAATTATCACTTGAAATATACAAAAATAGTTTATAATAAGAAATGTTTTAGGGTACAAATCGTGAAGTTTTTGCCTTCTGACTTCTCCCTACATCTCTGTTATTTCTCAAGATATTTAAACATTTATGGAAAACCAAGTGGGTGGGACGTGAATTGTACTGGCGCAAGATTAGAATTTTATCAACATATAATGCACCTGAAGAGAAGCATATCATGTACAATTGAGGCAAGTGATTTGCTATAATGATACCAGCAGGTCCTTCAACGACAATATAGGACGAAGTAGAGGCAATTAAAAAAATCCCGCCAATGTTATAACAATTTTTAAATATATCGATGAATTTATTAAAGAATTATGTGCGCAATTTCACATAGCCTGAGAGCAGGGTAGCTGAGAAAATTCCAAAGTTGGTGCTCATGCGTAAAGTTGAAAAAATAGGCCGATCATTGCTGTGCCATTTAATCTCACGCATAAGCGGTAACTTCAAAATATTTTGTATGTTGTTCTCCTGCTTCTAGACTATTGAAAATTCATCTGTGGATTAAGAAATGTTCATAACACTGGCTGAATTTTTCATTCACTCTATCTCGCCCAATTATCCTTGAAGCTGTCAAATTTGCATTTGTACTTTGACCCCTGTGATTTTAAAAATTAATTTTTAAATTAATGTGAAGAGATAAGTTAGTCGGGTTATATTCAACTATATGGTCACTCGGTATGCGTCGTATATGCTGAATATTATTAGATCTAACCGCGTTACAGTTTTATTTACACGAATAAATGATATTAAACGGATTTCGTGTTTGAGACGTTGACTGCCGCTGCTCGCGCTGTCCCAGTTCTTCCCTTTCCTCTTTTCATGCACTTCTGTTCGTTAGTGAAAAGCTTCTTTACACTGAGATAAAACAGCCGCAATTGAACGCGTATATTCTTGATTCAAAGTTACAACGAACTTGTTTCTGTGAACAATCACCCTGATTTTTGAATCAATGTTTTCACCAAATTGCCAATACATGCTACTAAACCTTCATTTGTTCTTCGAAAATTCTATGATTTGCAATGGAATAAACACTTGAATCAATCCTGCCGGTACATAAATCACGTATATGCAGGTCTGAAGCGCGTTAGGATAACGAAAGAATATGAAAACTATTTTCAAGTGAGACGAGACTTTCATCAAGAAGTCATTTCGGAATTGAATCAAGGACAAAAAAGATTGAATGACGAATCAATTGTGTTTATACTTGATTGATGCTTTTTTTTCTCAGTGTACACCTAATGATAATTTTAAATCAGGGATTCGATCAGAGTTGGTGATAAATTATTTTAGCAAATCGAGATGATTTCCAGAAATAATATAATTGTCGCCAACTTGACTAGCACCAGCTTTGTTCAGACAAAGAACAAAATTATTTAATTTGAAATTTTCAGCAGAAGAACTTATAATCGAAAATCTTATCAGCCCCAAGTTTTTAGCACAACTTTTCCAAATTGTAGACGACATTTTTTCCGCTTCATTTTCGAAACGAGATAAGTTAGGAATTTAATGACCCGTTGCATAATTACCATACGATTTTGGAATTGTTATATGATGATTGATATTCCCAAAATGTGCCAAAATCCTTTGTAATTTTTTTTCAATTTCTTCTATTTTTAATATCTATGTTTCAGATTTTTCAGATTGAATTTACATGAATGGGCTGAAATTAAAAGATATCGCTATGAAACCTTTAATTCTGAATCTCTTTTATCAAATTCAATATTGGAAAATTCAATTAATATGCAGAATACACAATGCAATAACTATATGAAATCCTGTTAAAAATTTCGAATTGAATTTTATTTGTGACAGCTTCTCATTGTTCTTGGCATCTCTTCAGATTTCATTTCAGTATTTACAGAAATGAAAGAAAATATTGTTAACCTAATAGATCAAATGAAAATCATTCACGTAAAAAACTATTTACAGATAATTAGCTGTAAATAGTTTTTTACGTGAATGACTTTCTCAAGAGTTGTTAATGAGCGAATCCCTGAAAATTTACAATACCCAATGCATTTCATCTTGCATGTATATCCCATATTCTAAGGTGATACTCTCGAAATAACTTTATATTCTTTGAATTTCTAATGCGATTATTCTTTATTTTGCTTGTAATTATTAACCTGTCCTGCATGATTTGATCTAATTTCCGCATGGGTGTTGCATGTAGAAGATCAAGAAAAACGGATCATCAAAAAAAATCAATGCCTTTGAACCTAATTACGGATAATTGGGCTAGGTAGAGAAAATTAAAAAATGCAGCCAATTGTGCAAATATTTTTCAATACACTGATGAATTTATTAAGCAACGATTTTTAAAATTGCCGACAGCCCAGGAGTAGGAGCATGATATTAACTGGGACATCAATAAGCTCTATATTTTTCCTATCTTCTTGACGGGCCGATAATGTGTACAAAAATGTAATAGTTATTAATCTCCCGTTTAACCTTATGTGTCAACAGAACCTTTGAAATTTCTTTTCGCTGTTATCCTGCTCCCAGGCTGTATAAAATTTTGCACATCATTGTCTAATAAATTCATCAATCAATGTATTAAAAAATTGTCACAATATTGGCTGTGTTTTTTTTATTCCCTCCACTATTTTTAGAGCTCAGCATTCTTAAGTTGAATTAGTCTGAAAAAAATAGAGAATGGGGATACTGAACAGGTATCACTCACTGATTGAAATGGAAATTATATGAGCTTGTAATGACGGAAAACTGAGATAGAGGTACTTTTTATATATTATCTACCAACACATGCTTTGAAGAGCTGCAATCTAGTCTAGAAACTTCTGGGTCTATTCAAATGTTGAATACCGTTTTTTATCTCTTGCATATATATGGAATATGGCTAGACCCTGAAGAATATGTGTTGTGCAGATTCTTTCATTTCAAATTATCTAATTTTCATAAATATCAGTGGATCACAAAAAGCTAGTGGAGATTGATTATAACAGATCATCCGTTTTTCTTCATTGAGCTTTTTCTCATTGTAATTTTTCATATGAATTTGAATTAATCTCTGATTTTTGTGGGGGGAAACAGATGGGAAATACTTAGTACTGCCTTCCGGTGAATTGCACATTAGAGATGTTGGACCCGAGGATGGATACAAGACTTATCAATGCAGAACTAAACATAGGCTTACTGGAGAAACTAGATTGTCAGCTACCAAGGGACGACTTGTCATCACCGGTAAGTCAGAATCTCGTTGCTTAATCCGGCAATGGAACTTTTATGGAACAACAACAATTTTTGCACTATAAACAGCAATAATCAGTCTTATCATTTTTTGACATATGTACGTCAATGAAAAATCATAAGAATAATCGAGAAGAGCATCTTTGCAATTTTCAATATTTATTTCAACATCAATGTTCTGATCATGATAGTTGCAAGAATTGTTGAAATACTCATAGCGTTCAGGTACCATGACACGTTCAGAAATATATCGGCTATGATTAAAAAAAGGGCTGTGTTAAGCTCAGCTTTATCTACCTATAAAAAGGGTCACGGTACCTACGCTCTGAATGCCTATAAATGGCACATATCGAAAAAGCAATATTGATTCAAATAGAGATGCCGATATCATATGATTGCATTTAATTGCACTGAGGGAAAGAATTTCATTTCAAGAACAAGTTCATACTATTAATGAGATTGTTCTCAAATTGAGAGAAAGAAGTCTTTTAGCAGTTCCTTTTCCCAAGATCTCGTTAAAATAAATTCATTCTGACGTTTTGTAATCGGGTAGTGTAGGGAACTTCTTCCGATTGCAGACGAAATTCTGTATGATGCTGTGGAACAATTATAATTTTTCGCGGAATTTTCACTCAGCTTTATATTATTTTGACTCGACAAAAGTAAATTGATATAGCAGAAGAATATGTTTTCTCAGTTTTCTCCCTACAACGTTTAGATTTATTCACACGAAATTTCAAGGCAAACTCACCCTCTCATGGCAAACTAGAAATCTCTAAAAATTTAATGAATTCATGATGATGCTAATGATTTTTTGATAATTTTTTACTAATTTATAAATGATCCGCTCAATTAACTGATTAACCACTAGATAACCTGCCGTGAGATACCTCACCGAAATAAATTGATTGCCTAATTCCTACTTTCCTGGGACGATTTGTCATCTCCAATGGAGAGATTCTTCTTTTCATTGTACGATAAACATTTTCATCATCAATTCAAATAAATACAGACTTAATGTTAAGTGTTGTGTCTGCATGGGCTATCTATCAAATGTGAAAGATCGTTTGAGGATGGCGGATCGAGATATTATACTATTCCAGAGAATCTGACAAGTTTACAGAAATAGAATATTTCAGGGCTGCTGGAATGGGGTTTTTCACTGCTGTGGAATTGGCGTGAAGTTGAATGCAAAAAACCCATTCCAACATCTCTGATGATATTTTTTTCGTACTGCTTCTCACGATTTTCCCGAAAACCACTATGGAAAAATATTGTCCGTCCGAAATATACTATTTCATGGTGATTTTCAAGTTTTTGAGTTTGGAAGGCATGTAGTATCAATTTCTAGATGAGATATCGTGAGAAGTAGTACGGAAAAATGATTAAAAATTAATACAGCTTGCCAACTATCATGATGGAGGAAAAGAATACATTTGTCAGACAGTAACGATATAGAATTAAAATGAGATGTCAAATGTTATCGCTGCGAAAGTGCAAATTTTTGATAAATATAATAAATTCCAGATATAGATTTTTTCACAAACCAGTGATGGGCACACCCAAGTCTATTTGGACTTTAAGGCCCAATAAAAAAGTTAATTCCTTGCTAAGTTTTTACTCATTTGGAAATAAATGGAATGTCTTGCAAGTTGCTTACTTGCAGGAGGACCCGAGAAATTTTAAGCAGTAGGATCGCTCAAAACTGTTTCCGGACTGAATGCCTTCGGACTTGAAACAATAAAATTTGTCCATCACTGACACAAAGTATATATGAATTTATCCGGAATACATAATTTGGAATCTGGAAAACACTTGAATATTCCCACGTAACGAAGGAATCATTTTGTTCGAAGACTTTTATCTCTCAATACAAGAACATCAGAAGAGAATATTGTCGTACATAAAGTAAATATTCTTTGTTAGTAGCTTTTTTCTCAGTGCACGGATGATAGTGTACGACGACAATATAAATTTATGTAAAACAATATCTATAAAAAACTTGAATTTGAAGGTATAATAAAAGCTCATTGAAGTTTGAGAATCCATATTGTTTTATCGATCCGTTAAAAAAATATTAGAACTAGTATGTGAATGAGTTTGGATGAATTTTTCATTATTGAGAGTATGATATATTGAAGTACATCTCATGTTGAATGAAAATAATATAGCAACCAAATTCATTGACAATTACCTGAATGCTGGGACAGGGTACCCCTGCGGGCACGCGTCACCGCGCCTGCTTTTTAGAAGAACATTGATTCACCGGTTTTGATGCGCTTGATTGCTCTCGCGATCCCCTTCGAGACTTTGAGACATTGAGACTTTGCTTCCGCACTCTATTTGCCTCGTTTTTCACAATCTGGAATCTTTCACAATTTTCAATTGACAAATGAAAAGGTAAGTTTGAGAGAAATAGAAAAGCAGACTCGTGTACAGAAGGATATCCTGAAGAAATCTTGCAGAAAATAAATAAAGAGCACATTAGTTAGAAATATTGACAATCAGAGGATAATAGGCATAGTCTATGTTGGATCATAATGCTTTTGCTCACTATGTGCTGATACAGGGGTTCCCCGTTCTGCTATGTGAGCAAATACAGGTGAACAATGTTTTAAAAATGGGGACTAGATTAGTGAGGTATTTTCGTCAATGGGAATAAATGCAGAGCCGGTTGGAGCCGCGAGGCCGAAGTTCCCGACAATTGACGACTCAAGAAGTTTTCGCACGACGATGGACGGTTCCGTGACTTTATTATGCCCTGCGCAGGGATTCCCCGCTCCCGTCAGCAAGTAAGTCACCTATGACGACCTTTACTTTACATGCGTCCTTGTTTATATGACAAAGCACACCCATTAATATCTACATTTACCCTCCAAGCTGATGGATGGTAAGCGAAGCCAATCAAAACAAGTGATGACAATTGCTTCAAACAACCACCTAAACCATCACTAAAAATTCGGAAAATTCACAACTTCTCACTCATTCTCCAACATCTCAAAAAATACTTGGTCAAAAAGAAAATTTCGGTAATCAGCACTTACATCTCCTCCAAATGTCCTCTTGGTGACCCATAACTTGTAGGAATTGATTTTAATTGTGTCAGAATCTGGTGGCATTAAATGAAATGTCATTTTTTAGGCTGTAGAGTACATGCACGCAACATTTCCCTCCCGTTCCCTTCTGAAGGTATTATTTTTATAATTGATATCAATCCGTTTTCCAAAGATCATGCATATGGAAGGCCGCCACCATAAAATACCATGTTTAAAACGTTATTTATGAGGTTTCTCATCTTATAATAATTACGAGTGGAAAAAAAGGTAAACCACGACTTTAAGAATGGAAATTAGAATTTTTGATGATTAATTTTTTTCTCTCAAATTTTGATGTTGATCTTGTATTTTACACTTTCAAACTCATGAATTACGAGTTTCAATTTCGTGAATTATTATTTCAAAAAACATAAATGTAGCGTAGTACAATTTTGGAACTCATAAATGACAAGTTTTAAGTTGTAAAATACGAGATTCCTCATTTGCACTTTTGTTTCCGTAATTTATGGTTTTTGAAATCATAATTTACGCGGTGGGAACACGTAATTGACGAGTGTCAAACCGTAAAATACCAGTTCAAAATAATAATTTATATTGTATATTTAATAATTTAACATATATTATATATATTAATAATATAATAATTTATATAATATATAATTTAACAATCGTAATTTATGTTCTTAAGGATGTACTTCACCCATAATTAGTCAAAATTTACGTTTTTTCAATTTTTCGGTAAATTATTGATATGGGATTGATGTGAAAAAAAATATTCCGTCTTGCGTTTTGTCATTATTTAATGGCTCATGAAGTTTTAAAACTGCAACAAATTTGCGATGCAATCATTTTGATGCATTTTCTCTACAGTTTGATGATTCAGTGTGAAAGGTTAGAAAAAACGCAGAAAAATCTTCGCACCACCTTGAAACTTCGTCAGTCAATAAATAATGACAAAACGCAAAAACGTTAATGTTGACTTGATATGGGTGTAGGATGGCCTTAAACTTGTAATTACATGGAGAATAATATTTACTAAAAATTACGGAACTTTCAGTTCGCTTACCGATTACGGAATCGACTTAAAAAATTTAAGTGAGGGTATCGTAATTTTTCACAGATAATTCAGATAAAAATTACGAAACGCTGTAGAATAATTCCGGAACTTCAGAGAAAAATTACGTGACAGTTCCGTAAAATTTCCTACAATCACATTTCACTCTGGAATTATGAAAAAGGCACGTAATTATGATTAAATATTTCTCTCTGTGCAGAGATCAGAAACCTCGTGAATTCCGTTTTACAGTTTAGCGTGCAGTAACTGGCTGATTACGTGTAGCTGGCCGCTTTCTGCACTCTGAAATAATATAAAACGAGACCGAACGCGCGCTCCACGCGCCGTTTGATTCCGTGGTGTTGATGATGACGTAGCCAATTGACCAATGAGAAATAGGGTTACGAGTGAAAAATCTTACGCATGAAGTTAGCCAATCTTACTCTCGCCCAACTTAATTTTGGTGTATCACCTTTTATAGATAGGATACGATAACGTACGCCAATCGGGCGTTATAGTAATTCATGCTACAAGGGCTGAAAAGTATTTTACTGCCTACATGCGCCGAAAGTGAGCATTCTAACCTCACTTCGTTCGGTTAGAAACGTCACTTTCGCTGCATATCGACAGAAAAATCGTATGCAACCCTCGGGAGGAAAAGTAGACAAGCATTTCCCACGTGCATACCACCCTCGCCTTCGGCTCGGGCAATATACTATATTCCGCTCGGCCTGCCCTAACCTCGTACTTTTATTGGCCAAGGGAATTAAGTAAAGAGCACCGCGATAAGCGCCCACTTACATTCCTACAGCAATAAAACTACCAGGTTAGGGCGGGTCGAGTCACATAAAAAACAAAATTAACCCCGTCGAATCGTAATATACTTTGTGTAATAGTACTTTGTGGCTGGCGTTTTCTGCGTGTATGATCTTTGTGAGGTAAACGTAACCTATTACGACTTTGGACCTCCCAAATTACGAGTTTGAAAACATAAATTGCGGGAAGAGAAGCGTAAATCATGAAGTCGAATCTCGTATTTTACAACCTAAAACGTGTAACTTACGAGGTCCAAACGCGTAATTTTATAGGACGGGATTCTTAATTTACGAGGTCAAAATCGTAATGTACAAGATTGACTTTGTAATTCACATTTTCAAAGTTAATCAAAGGGGTCGTTTAATGTGATTGACAGGACGAAAAAACCCAACTCGATGAATTCTCGAGTCAGCTTGATTGTTTTTTTTTCCCTACCTTACCGCCTTTTTTGCCTCTCTTTCTTGGCCAATTGACCCTTTCCCACTTTATCTATGCCTGCGGCTGTGGATCCTACACTGTGCCGTATTCGCTCTCCTACAGAACATAGGAGTGACATGGGAAACCACAGGAAAAGCCATGTCGGTACAGGCGGTTACTCTATTGACAACCTCTCGCTCAGCGGTGCTTGTTGAAAAATTCGATTCAACAGGAAACCGAGCCTACAACTTTCAGAACACGATGATTGTGCTATTAGTTGGTCACCGAAAAATTCATTGCAGGACTTGTATGTACTGATTACCAAAATTTCAAATGATATAATTTTTAATGTAATGAAGCGCTCCCCAAAAATCGTCCGATGAATTCTTCTGGGTCTTTCTCGTGCAGAATGACCACTGGAGTAATTACCAAATCACAATGATTCCATTTTATTTCTCAAATCTTTTAAAAATTTCCAACTTCAGAGCCTATTGCCAGCGTAAAGCCAAAATTTACAATGACGGAGAACTCACGCACGTATACAGTGCGATCCGCTGAATCGCTGACTCTGTCTTGTCCGGCACAGGCGTTTCCCGTTCCAGCTTTCAGGTAAATCGTCATCCAATCAATTCAGCCCAATAAATTCGTCTTATGGCCCTATAAGTTCCATCAATTTTTCACCATTAGTTTTTTTTACTTCTTTTATTCAACTGAATTATTTCGTGTAGAGCCCGTCGCCAGTGCAAGACCGAAATTTCCGATGACAGACACCTCTCGAACTTACACAATCCGTCATAGTAGGACCCAGACCCTCTTTTGTCCAGCGCAGGCGTATCCCATTCCAGCTTTCAGGTATAGATAGTGATTGATATTTTTCATTGACTATGATCGTAGAGGGTACAAAATTCACCTGATTCAAGTATAATTCATCAAATAGAAAAAGGTCATCACAATTATCGTCGCGGGCGCAGTTGATTACCGGACAAACTATCACTTCAACTAAACTATTAAATCAACAGTTTATCACTCAAAATATTGCCTCACATGGACAATTCCTAACAAAACCTTTTATTACAAGTGATTTGGACCACAGATCGATAATATAGTAATTAATATAGTGGAATTCAAGGAGAGAGGTTTATTATTATTTCATTATTTTCGATTACCTATTTCTCAATTGGCGTTTATTTCGTTTGGTTTCCCTTCTTCGTTTCAAACTGTGTCATTAATTGTTCTGTTCAATACGTGAAATTTAAAGTTGTGATTAATGAGGCCCTTTCTATTTAGAGATTGATATTATCGGAGGGGAAATCTCACTTTACACGATGGAATTATTATTATTATTTCGGATTACCATTTCGGTTTTTGTTGAGTTATGGTTTGTTATAACGATCAGGGTAATTGTCCTGTGATCAATAGTGGTATAATGAAAAAGATTTGCAAATGTTAAGTCAAAGCTTACAATTTCGGGAAGAATTAATACATGGGCGACTGACTTTTTTCGGCCTGACTCAGGCATTTCCTTCAACCGTTCAAAATATTAAAATCTTTTTGTCAATCCATCGACATTTTTTATTGATGAACAATTGCAGACACTTTTCTGTCGTGTGCGAGCACTTCCTATTCCAGCATTCAGGTATATTGATGAAAGAGTAGTTATTTGATTGATTAAACAAGAATCTAGTGACAAGGATTGAAGGTATAACTCCATTCGGCTCACATCATTCTCGATTGCTTCACTTTTTTTTTCAATTTTGACTGATTTATAACCATTTTTTTCAACACACTTCCCCACTTGAATTGAGACATGTCATTATAGAGCCTGTTGCCGGTGCCCCACCAAAATTTCCAACACTTGCTGATTCACAAGCTTTCAGAGTGTCTCTCTGTGGAACAATGACTTTTCTATGCCCAGCTCAAGGTTTCCCAGCCCCCTCATACAGGTAGGGGTCCTCATCAAAATTCCTAATCATTGTATAAGTAGAACTGCCCAAGGCGTCTAACCAATTTCACTGGGAAAAAAAGTTTTTTGAGAAGTGTGTCTTTACTTGCATATAGTCCATTCCATATATAAGGGCCAGTAACGCCGCCGATAGGGGAGGAAGATATCATGGAAATAGCCGTACCCCCACTAAAAGTTTCTGTGATTTTTTTATTATTATTGCTTTTTGTTTTTGAATCAAAGCAGTGTGTTCGTGAGAACTTTCAATTTCGAGTTCTTCGTGTGAAAATGATGGAACATGATTAGAAGCTTCGGGAAAACATAAACGCACAATATGAGGAATAAATGAAGTTGATTATTCAATTGAGTTTGGTTTTTAGTTTTGTACTCTCGAGCTCTTATATGAGTGTGGAATAAAAACTCTGACAAGCATGCGGCGGGGATAGTTCTACTTCGCTTCCCTCACCTTATATGAAGTCACCTATGCAAAAAAAAAAACAACACCACGTGTTGTACTGAAAGAAGGGAGTGGGTACTTACCAGAAAGGCAAGGAATTTTTCGAGAAGCACATACGTCTACTGGTATGAAGAAACCTATCCCCCGAAAATTAACAAAATTCAAATATTTTATAATTTAATTTATCTTATAATCAATCTACCTGCGTGAATTCACTCATTAGTTTGCTTTTCTAAAAACTATTTGCCGTGGCTGAAAAAGTCGCCTTCTTATTATGAAGTATAAACCTTTTGAATAAATTTAGCTTCTCTCAGTGCAAAATATCGTTGTCTTGAAAAAAGAATTTAATATGAGTTTCTTGATACAAGTAAAGACGCGCTTGTCAAAAAACTTGGATGCTATCAGTATATGACTTTATAGCAATCAGGCCTGCGTGATGCTGGAGCGTGATGATTTCTGGGCAATAGTTACCAAAAATCGTCATGTTCCTCCGTCATTACTGACCACTGCTTTCCAGGGGACCCTGGCCTTTCGTTCATTACCTATTTTCGAATTAATGAATTCTTGTGAAGTGCCTGGAATTATTTTCACATAGAACCCGTGTCGAGCTCTAAACCAAAATTTCCTTCGATTAATGACATCGGGGTGAGGACTGTGGAAAGAAGTAGTTTTGAACTGCTGTGTTCTGCTCAGGCGTACCCTGTCGCTGTATTTAGGTAGGCGTTAGATTTATTTGAAAAGAGTAAAATTATTGCCTCTTCCGACATCTTGGATTTGTGATGTTGATTTAGAACCAGTTGGTTTCACTAAACCAAAGTTTTCTACAATTGATAAGAGCAGAATGTTTGAAATGAGCAAAGGACGTGGTGTGACGCTTCATTGCCCGGCACAGGCACATCCTGTCCCAGTCTTTAAGTGAGTAAAATAAATGAAGCTATTCTCTATAAATCAGAACCAGTCTCGAGCACAAAACCTAAAATGACCTCATTGGACGTCAAATCAACAAATCCGACTGTTATGCCGGGTTCCATGCTGACTTTATTGTGCCCAGTACAGGGATATCCCGTGCCAACATTCAGGTAATGATATGCGGTTATTGTCTCAGGATTTATGATGATTAAAAGTGTGACTTCACGTAGAGCCCATGGCGAGTACCAAGCCAAAATTCTCAGGTGTCTCTGTCAGGACCCTAGAGGCAATTGTATGCGTCGAAGAGGTTGCCACCCTTGGCTGCCCAGCTCAGGGATACCCGGTGCCGGCATTTAGGTAACAAAATATTTCATTTGGTCACACCTTTTCCTTCATTTTCTCTCTCAGAGCCTGTGACCAGTGCCAAGCCAAAATTTCTCAATGCTGATATTAAAGTACTAACACCGACATTGTCAGGGAGTTCAGTGGCTTTTACTTGTCCTGCCCAAGGATTTCCCGTCCCCTTTACACGGTTAGTCATTGTAGATAGCTATTTCGATTTTTTTTTAACCAACGAACATACTTTGGCATATCTGTTCCACTTCATTATTTGGAATCAAGCGCTATAAAGAGTTAAAGGTGGAAGGTGTGCGTCATCAGAAGGTGATGTAAGTAAAAAAGAAAATAGCACAATCAAAGTACGAGATTAGAGCGGGCGGAGTGACACAGAAATCATTTTCCGTCTATGGCCTCGAGACAAAATATTAGGATTATCGTACTGAGTATCAGGGGAAGGGACATTACGGAAATTTTCATTCGTCTTGATTGGACTCCTCAGAGCCTTCCCATTTCGCATTTGTTAATTTTTTCTAGAGCTGTTCCGATGTGAATTCAATTGGAATTCTGGTGTATGTCCGATAGATGAATTTCGCGCAAATATCGTGAAATTGGGTGACTTGGCACTAAAGCTTCTAGATTGAAAGTATGATGTGTGTTCTGAAGGAACATTCATTCTCAACTCAACTTGGAGGTTTGCCGTAATACACGGGGGAATTGCTGCTTCATGTAGCAAATTTTAGATTACTATTTTGTGGGAGTTATAAAGCACCTCGTGTTTGTATTATACAATCATGAGGATATTAATTTTCGATCGTCTTTTTTTTGTGCATTTATCTTTACCTTTTATCATTTTTCTTTTATATTAACAATATTTTAAGCATTTGCAAATAAAAAGGTCGTATAGATAGTTTTTTTGTATTTTATTAAATTATCGTCGCAAGGGATTCTCATGAACACTAACGAATTTTGGACAACATTTGAGTAAAATACGAAAAAAGTTTTTATACGACTTTTTCGTACAACACGCGATTTGAATACATTCGTTCCACCACTCACGCTCCAAAATCATTTTCTTTTTCGTATAGAACCTGTTGGTTTGAAGCCACCGTCATTCTCTAATGACGACGAGTCACGTACGTTTTCAAGACGAAAAAATTCCCACTTTTCATTGATGTGTCCGGCTCAGGGTAGTCCAGCGCCAACCACAAGGTAATTGTGCTGATAACATTTTTGTAGGAATTATGTGTTTGCTCGTTGAGATCCTTTTCAAAGAAATAAACTCAATGGACGAGGATGTTAATAAATTCACCATTCGGTTCGGTTATTCCAATGCGATGACTTTTTCCAGAATAAGGAATCATGTGAGCTTCTGTAATGTTCTGGCCGTTTTTAACAGAATCAATAGGTTTCAGGTCGCGATTATTTCGATAATATTTTCTTGAAAAGGCAGGATTACTCATTTTCTCTGATGTGTCCTGCTCAGGGTAGTCCTAAACCAGCAATCCGGTACTTGCGTTAAAAAGAAAGATAGATCCAAAACTTTAGATCTCTGAAAAAAATACCTGAAAAATACGTATTTGGGTGTTTTCATTATCGTGTTTGTCATCTTATTTTCATCGTCAACGTCCTGGAAATTCTTCACCAGAGCCTGTTGGATTGAAGGCACCAAAGTTTTCCAGTGACGACGGATTGAGTTCATGGACGAAGCGAAATGACTCACCACTAACCCTCGAATGTAATGCGCAAGGCAGCCCACCTCCAATTGCGAGGTAATTGTTCCAAAAAAAAAATACTATAAAGATTTGATTTTAATCCCTTAGCACGGGTCTTATATCATTTTTCCGTCACAATAACGTTGAGCGTATGTGAAACACGCCCTAAAATTGTAGATATTCCAATGAGACTTTTCTAAGAAAGTCATTAAACTCTTCAAAATTACTCCAATGAAAATCGATCTTGTTTATCTGTCACGATAGGGAAGCAAAAATATTTTCTTCAACTGCGCCTGAAATCTTACATATTATAATAAGTAAAATAAAAAACAGACAAGCGTTGATATGCGGTGATAATTTTTATCACTTGTGTCTTAGTGCTGACGGGCGGAAATTATACTTAAATGTTTAGAAAATTCCCGAATCACTATTTAAAGAATTCATAAAGAAATGTTCGAGAATATTCTGTATTAATGAAAAAGGAATTAATGCG